AGGGCTTAGACCCAACATCCCAGTGTCTCTGACATGGCCATTATGAACTCCTTAATGGACACACACACAGACACCCAGACCCAGGGCTTAGACCCAACATCCCAGTGTCTCTGAAATGGCCATTATGGACTCCCTAATGGACACACACACAGACACCCAGACCCAGGGCTTAGACCCAACATCTCAGTGTCCCTGACATGGCTATTATGAACTTCCTAATGGACACACACACAGACACCCAGACCCAGGGCTTAGACCCAACATCCCAGTGTCTCTGACATGGCCATTATGAACTCCCTAATGGACACACACACAGACACCCAGACCCAGGGCTTAGACCCAACATCCCAGTGTCTCTGACATGGCCATTATGGACTCCCTAATGGACACACACACAGACACCCAGACCCAGGGCTTAGACCCAACATCTCAGTGTCTCTGACATGGCCATTATGAACTCCCTAATGGACACACACACAGACACCCAGACCCAGGGCTTAGACCCAACATCCCAGTGTCTCTGACATGGCCATTATGAACTCCCTAATGGACACACACACAGACACCCGACCCAGGGCTTAGACCCAACATCTCAGTGTCTCTGACATGGCCATCATGAACCCACTGAGGGATACTAAAATGTCTGAACTATTTTTTTTATTTTGCCACGGAAGTCCCTATTGAGCTGTGTAGTAGGTCTTTTTTAAATGCTACCCTGCCAATCACAAATGATAGCCTCAACGAAGTGGGCTTATTATCATCATCATCATCCTCGTGTGGAAATTTAAAGCAGTAGCCAAATTCCCCCTAAACGCGTGATCATATTGATTCTAAATGTGGAGGGGGGGAAATGCCGGAAGACCCGGGGAAAATTCCACGTGACCACAGAGAGAGATAGAGAGAGACACGCAAACTCCAAATATACAGCAGCAGCAGCAGGCATCGTCAGGGCTGGAATTGAACCCACGACCTCCTGTATACCAGGCGAGGTAGTCAACATCTCCTAGCTACCGTGATGATGATGAGAGAGACACGCAAACTCCAAATATACAGCAGCAGCAGCAGGCATCGTCAGGGCTGGAATTGAACCCACGACATCCTGTATACCAGGCGAGGTAGTCAACATCTCCTAGCCACCGTGATGATGATGAGAGAGACACGCAAACTCCAAATATACAGCAGCAGCAGCAGGCATCGTCAGGGTTTGAATTGAACCCACGACCTCCTGTATACCAGGCGAGGTAGTTAACATCTCCTAGCCACCGTGGCGCCCATCATAGAGAAAGGGCAAATAATATCAGTTCACACTTTGCTGTACTCTACCGCATCCTCCTGGTAGAGTCTGACAGAGCCAGGCGAATTACGTCTCACGGGAAAGGAGTTTGGCAAACGTCTCTTTGTGTGATCCATCAAGCGTCTCGCTGCTGCTGCTGCTGTCGCTGCTGCTGATGCGTCCGCAGTGATGTACGGATTCCAGGGACAGCCACGCGCAGCAGCCTTGCCGCTGGCCAGAGGGGGCTCTGGATAATCCATCTGGGGAATTCGTTGGCAATCCACCCAGGGATGATGATGATGATGCACCACCACCACCAACCACCACCAACCACCACCAGAAAGCTACGCCCCAACAATCAATCACCGGGACGGACTGAACCCCGTGACATCCGACAGACGCACCCAGCACTAGCGCCATCTACTGGTAGACGTTATTATTTCATTCATGTTATAACGGATGCACCCTTCAGAGATGACTTTGTTGTTGTTGTTGTCGTCCATCCCCAAACGGTGCTACCGCCGGCGGCGAATATTCCCCCTCGGATTAAACAGCAGCAGGAGCAGCAGCAGCAATAGTGAGAGGGTTGGTGTATCACACACAGACGGGTACCTAACAGATTAAACAGCAGCAGGAGCAGCAGCAGCAATAGTGAGAGGGTTGGTGTATCACACAGAGACGGGTGCCCAACAGACTAAACAGCAGCAGGAGCAGCAGCAATAGTGAGAGGGTTGGTGTATCACACAGAGACGGGTGCCCAACAGATTAAACAGCAGCAGGAGCAGCAGCAGCAATAGTGAGAGGGTTGGTGTATCACACAGAGACGGGTACGTAAACTCCCTTAACCGTCGGCACCGAGGCGGATGGCGGCGTTCCACTGGCTCTGTGAGGCTCTGCCAGGATGATGCGGTCTAGTACAGCAAAGTGTCGACTGATTTTATCTGCCCCTTCCGTATGATGGGCGTCACGGTGGCTAGGAGATGTTAACTACCTCGCCTGGTGTACAGGAGGTCGTGGGTGCCATCCCGACCCTGATGATGCCTGCTGCTGCTGCTGCTGTAGATTTGGAGTTTGAGTGTCTCTCTCATCATCATCTTGGTGACTAGGAGATGTTAACTACCTCGCCTGGTGTACAGGAGGTCGTGGGTGCCATCCCGACCCTGACGATGCCTGCTGCTGCTGTATATTTGGGGTTTATGTCTCTCTCTCTCTCTCTCTTCGTGGTCGCATGGATTTTTTCTCCGGGTCCTCCGGTTTTTTCCCCCCTCCACATTTAGAATCGACGTCTGTGCCAGGCTCTGTCAGGCTCTGATAGCAGGATGCGGTCTAGTACAGCAAAGTGTCGAATGATATTATCTCTGGGGAGGGGGGCAGCTTTGGGGGGAGGAGGTAGATCCTCACGGTTGGGGTCCGCCTCGGGCCCCGTGCTTTGGGGGGAGGAGGTAGACCCTCACTGTTGGGGTCCGCCCCGGGCCCCGTGCTTTGGGGGGAGGAGGTAGACCCTCACTGTTGGGGTCCGCCTCGGGGCCCCGTGCTTTGGGGGGAGGAGGTAGACCCTCACTGTTGGGGTCCGCCTCGGGCCCCGTGCTTTGGGGGGAGGAGGTAGACCCTCACTGTTGGGGTCCGCCTCGGGCCCCGTGCTTTGGGGGGAGGAGGTAGACCCTCACTGTTGGGGTCCGCCTTGGGCCCCGTGCATTGGGGGGAGGAGGTAGACCCTCACTGTTGGGGTCCGCCTCGAGGCCCCTCCCCCCCCTCCTCTCACCCCACTTATGGCTCAGCGTGGAATGGAAGAGTAGGCCAAAAACATATCCTCTCGAGGAGAAGAGGGAATCTTCCTCTCTCTCCCCTCGAGTGGATGATCCCCTTTCCCCACAGCAATGATGCGGTGAGCCGAGCAACTGCAGGGCTGCGCCTTTAGCTTTGCACCTACCGATTGATCATCATCGATTGTCCGGCTGCTTCCAACATTATCCGGCAGTCCCCGGGGCCAATCCGGCAACGCCGCTCCACAAGGCGGTTAACCGAGTGCGGCGATCGACACCACCAACGTCTGTACGTGTGACGAAAACGAAGTAGCTACGCTGGATTTCAGCATTCAAATAGTGTTATCACTGCATTGTACACTGCATGTAGCTTAAACAAGTAGTAGGTACATTTAGTACTCGGTAAATCTAGTACTAGTAGTAGTAGTGCATCTAGTACTAAGTACATCTAGTAGTAGTGTATCTAGTAGTAGTACATGTAGTAGTACATCTAGTAGTACTAGGTACATCTAGTAGTAGTAGTACACCTAGTAGTAGTACATCTAGTAGTAGTACATCTATTAGTAGTAGTACATATAGTAGTAGTACATCTAGTAGTAGTACATGTAGTAGTAGTACATCTAGTAGTAGTACATCTAGTAGTAGTACATCTAGTAGTAGAACATCTAGTAGTAGTACATCTAGTAGTAGTACATCTAGTAGTAGTAGTGTATCTAGTAGTAGTACATGTAGTAGTACATCTAGTAGTAGTACATCTAGTAGTACTAGTTACATCTAGTAGTAGTAGTACACCTAGTAATAGTACATCTAGTAGTAGTACATCTATTAGTAGTAGTACATATAGTAGTAGAACATCTAGTAGTAGTACATCTAGTAGTAGTACATCTAGTAGTAGTAGTACATCTAGTAGTGGTACATATAGCAGTAGTACATCTAGTAGTACATCTAGTAGTAGTACATCTAGTAGTAGTACATCTAGTAGTAGTAGTACATCTAGTAGTAGTACATATAGTAGTACATCTAGTAGTAGTACATCTAGTAGTAGTACATCTAGTAGTAGTACATCTAGTAGAAGCACATCTAGTAGTAGTACATCTAGTAGTAGTACATCTAGTAGTAGTACATCTTATAGTAGTACATCTAGTAGCAGTAGCACATCTAGTAGTAGTACATCTAGTAGTAGTACATCTAGTAGTAGTACATCTAGTAGTAGTACATCTAGTAGTAGTACATCTAGTAGTAGTACTAGGTTCATCTAGTAGTAGCACATCTAGTAGTAGTACATCTAGTAGTAGTACATCTAGTAGTACATCTAGTAGTAGTACATCTAGTAGTAGTACATCTAGTAGTACATCTAGTAGTAGTACATCTAGTAGTAGTACATCTAGTAGTAGTACATCTAGTAGTAGTACATGTAGTAGTAGTAGTAGTACACCTAGTGGTAGTACAGAAAAATAAATATGTTTTCGGAAGGATATTGATATGTGCCTCATTTCTATGTTCATTTATTCCAAGTTGGCATGGTAAATTAAAATAAAACATCAGAAACAATCAGAGAAACGACACGTAAAAACACGACGTCACGCAGAAAAGCGTTAAAAAAGTTGCAGTTTTTAAATAATTATAATGCAGTGATGATCCGGAGTTTTTTTTAAACTTTCTCTTCAAGACCCCCCCAAGCCGCTGGATTATCGATGGTGATCGATGGTGATCGATGATGCTCCATGGTAATCGATGATGATCGATGAGTATCGATGGTGATTGATGATGAAGGATCGCAATCAATGGTAATTGATCTTGTATCGATGGTGATCGGTGATGATCGATTGTGATCGATGATGATATAATCGATGATGATCGATGACCTGTCATGCACTATGTGGAGGTGAGTGGTGGTTAGGACGCTTGAAGGTGGCGAGTCGCCGCGTGTGATTTAAATCCTTGTGCATCCCCTCCACCCACAGCTGCTCCACCGCAAGCTCCACCTGCAGCACCTGCAGAGGCACCTGCCCTGGAGCGTACAGACACCCCTGGTGAGCTCACAGCAGTCACTCACCACTCACTCACCACTCACTCACCACTCACTTACTCACCCGTATCACACACACACCTGGTGAGCTCACAGCAGTTACTCACCACTCACTCACCACTCACTCACCACTCACTCACTCACCACTCACTCACTCACTCGTGTCACAGACACACACCTGGTCAGCTCACAGCAGTCACTCACCACTCACTCACCACTCACTCACCCGTATCACACACACACCTGGTGAGCTCACAGCAGTTACTCACCACTCACTCACCACTCACTCACCCGTATCACACAGATACACACCTGGTGAGGTCACAGCAACCACTCACCACTCACTCACCACTCACTCACTCACCACTCACTCACCCGTATCACACAGACACACAGCTGGTGAGGTCACAACAGTTACTCACCACTCACTCACCACTCACTCACCACTCACTCACCACTCACTCACCCGTATCACACATACATACCTGGTGAGCACACAGCAGCCACTCACCACTCACTCACCACTCACCACTCACTTACTCACCACTCACCACTCACTCACCCGTATCACACACACAATGGTGAGCTTACAGCAACCACTCACCACTCACCACTCACCCACGTCACAGATACACACCTGGTGAGGTCACAGCAACCACTCACCACTCACTCACCCACGTCACAGATACACCCCTGGTGAGGTCACAGCAGTCACTCACCACTCACCACTCACTCACCACTCACCACTCACTCACTCACCCGTATCACACAGACACACCTGGTGAGCTCACAGCAGTCACTCACCACTCACTCACCACTCACCACTCACTCACCCACGCCACAGATACACATCTGGTGAAGCTTCCGTGACTGTAGGAATCCAAACTCTTCGATTCTTTCAGTAAAGTCACGTAGTGGGTACAAAATAAAATAAACCTCGACGTTTCGGGCGCAACACAAGCGCGTCTCTCTCTCTCCGGTTTTCCCCTCGAACATTTCGAATGAACATCACCACGCGTTCAGAGTATTTGGGCTGCTGTTATAAATTTCCAAACGACGATGATCATGATGATGGTGGTGATGATGATGATAATTCCACTTCGTTGAGGCTATCACTTCTGGTGGCCAGGTCGCTTCTAGAAACAACAACAACGACAACAACAACAACAATATACAAGGCTCAGTGGGGTCTTACACCTGGTGATCCAAAAATAAACATTGTACTCTAAATTTTGATTTAAAGCTTTCGTGACTGCAGTAATTCATACTCTTAGCTCTTTCGGTAAAGTCACGTTGAAGGGAAACAATAAAATAATAAAATATATATAAAACAATAAAAATTCTCACGACTTTTCGACCATAACATAAACAGTCATCATCAGGTGTGAAAAGCAACGGCAAAAAAACATTTGAAAGAAGTGGCGGCCCGCATTTATTTATATATTTTCAAACCGAGTTATTTATTTATTTAAACGCACACGCCGTTTAAAAACAACTAAATAAATGCGGACCGCCACTTCTTTCAAATGTTTCTTGCCGTTGCTTTTCACACCTGATGAAGACCGATTGCGTTGTGGTCGAAACGTCGTGAGAATTTCTTGTTATTGTTTTCATATATATTTTATTATTGTTTTATTGTTTCCCTTCGACGTGACTTTACCGCAAGAGCCAAGAATATGAACATTGTCCTCGTTCAAGCGTTCCCGCCGCGAGGCGCGCTGGTCAAGCTTGTGAGCGTGCGAGAGTGCCTCCGTCTCGTTTCAGGGTCAACTGATGGCTCCAAGCCGCTCGCCCTGCAGAGGACGGACACTCCGGGTGAGTCACGGACACCTGGGGGAGCCACTCGTCGATTGCAGCCACTGTTAGAATCGCGTCGGTTTCACGGGCAATATCGTCCAGCCGACACAGGCAATCAGTGTCAGGTTTGTCACGCGAACAGAACGTGGCCAATTCGTTACTAGCACAGCACACCGGTGCGTTGGGCAACCAGTGAAGCCTGATTATGGTAGTTGTAATTACGGGCGAAACGTCGCACACTACACTATACACTACTATAGACTACACTACTATACACTACACTATACACTACACCACTGTACACTACACTATACACTACACTATACACTACTATACACTATACTATACACTACACTATACACTACACTACACACTATACACTACACTATACACTACACTACTATACACTACACTATACACTATACTATACACTACACTATAGACTATACTATACACTACACTATACACTACACTATACACTAGTGCTGTGCTAGTGACGAAATGGCCACGTTCTGTTCACGTGAGAACCATTACTAGTTGGCTGTGTCGGGTGGTGGCAGGTTTTACGACACAACATTTATATAGAGGTGCTCTAACACCTAACAAATCTATATAATGGAAAATAGATTATTTTATTTTAACAAGAAATAGATTTTTCTCCTCCACGATTGTATTTCAAATTGCACGATCAACATCGTCGTCGATAACAACAACAATAACAACATCTATTGGGAGATCTCTCAAATTGATCTGAAAGCCCTTGGCGTGCTAAAATAACGGCTCCGGGGGAAGTGGACTTCACAGAGCTACCTCTGAGTTCTCTTCTTCTTCACGTGGTGCTCTGGGGCACACAGAAAGGCCCGCGGAAGTAGATATCACAGAGCCACTTCTGAGTTATCTTCTTCTTCACGTGGCGCTCTGGTGCACACAGAAAGACCCGGGGAAGTGGACATCACAGAGCCACTTTTGAGTTATCTTCTTCTTGTTCACGTGGTGCTCTGGTGCACACAGAAAGGCCCGCGGAAGTGGATGTCACAGAGCTACCTCTGAGACCACTTGACTGCGAGTCGGATGTGCTAAGCATGACGTCGCGTGCAGCAGCATCGCGCCCCGTGTGTGTGCGGAGTGGTGGTGTCGTAGCGGTTTGCACCACCACCACCACCACTGCCACCACCACCACCACCATTACCACCACCACCATCACCACCACCACCATCACCACCACCACCACCACTACCACTACCACCACCACCACCATCACCACCACCACCACCATCATCACCACCACCACCATCACCACCATCACCATCACCACCATCACCACCACCACCACTACCACCACCACCATTACCACCACCATCACCACCACCACCACCATCACCACCACCACCACCATCACCACCACCACTACCACTACCACCACCACCACCATCACCACCACCACCACCACCATCATCACCACCACCACCACCATCACCACCACCACCATCACCACCATCACCACCACCACCACCGTGCTGCTAACCACGGCGACCCGAGTTCCAAGTCTCAAGACTCTGATCGTGATACTGGTGACAGTTATCTGAACCTGTCATGGGCCTCTCCCCTAGGTCGACTTAGCCTAAAATGAGTGCGTGGGTGTGGTGTGAACGAACATCGCCAAAGGCGGTCGGGCGTGGTGCTGGCCACCCGCCCCCCCCGTGTGCCATCCCTTCATTAAGCGGCCCTAACTCGCCAACAGCACTTGCCCCAACAGTCTGTTGAGGCTACACAGGGGATATTTGTCTCTGTGTGTGTGTGTTGTGGGTGGCTGGGTGCGGGTATGGGGAGCGGCAGGGCAGCAGCAGTTAGCGCCACGCCACGCTACGAGCCCGGCCGTGACCCGAGTTCGATTCCCTCTCAGGGCACGAAGAGCATGTAGCTGGCACACCACCCACCCCATCGCGTGCCTCCGCCCTTCATCGGTGCTGCTACTCGCCACGAAGGCTTGCCCCGACAGTCTGTTGAGGCTACCCGGGGGACCTTTGCCTGTGTGTGGCTGCAGACATGACAGAGCCCACGTCGGGTCCTCCCGTGGAGGAGAACAAACCCAGCACGGGCATCTTCCTCGAGGTGCCCAAGACGGGCAGCGTGGCCGTGGGTGAGGCTCCCCCTCCTCCCCCCTCCCCCCACTCTCACCCCCCCTCCCACCCTCCCACTCTCACACCCCCTCCCACCCTGCCACCCTCCCCCCCTCCCACCCCCCCTCCCCCCACTCTCACCCCCACTCTCACACCCCATCCCACCCTCTCCTCCTTCCCATTTCCCCCCCATCCCACCCTCTCCCCCTCCCAACCTCCCCCCCCCTCCTACCCCCAACCTCGCACCCTCCCCCCCCTCTCCCACCCTGCCACCCCCCTCCCACCCCCCCGCCCTCCCCTCACAACCCCCCCCCCCCCCACGTTATGTAACCACGATCGTGTGGGCTCTCGCCAGGGGCTGACATCATCTTCGTGGCCAAGGTGTCTGGAGAAGGAGTCGGGAAGAAGCCGGTGGTGAAGTGGTTCAAGGTTGGTCCTGACACTCAGGGGTGGGGGGGGGCGAGGGGGGGGCGAGGGGGGGGGGCGAGGGGGGGGGGGGCGAGGGGGGGGCGAGGGGGGGGGGCGAGGGGGGGGCGAGGGGGGGCGAGGGGGGGGCACTGGGAATGGACATCTCGGGCCCGGGTTTCCGGGACGGGATTTGACTCTCACTCAGGACAACAGTGGAGCGCCGTTTTGGGTTTCAATGTCTCTTGGGACTCAACTCAACGATTGAGATCAGTCCCAGGAGACCGGGTATCAGGATCAGAGTCTTCAGACTTGGAACCAGGAGACCGGGTATCAGGATCAGAGTCTTGAGACTTGGAACCAGGAACCGAGTATAAGGATCAGAGTGTTCAGACTTGGAACCAGGAGACCGGGTATCAGGATCAGAGTGTTCAGACTTGGAACCAGGAGACCGGGTATCAGGATCAGAGTCTTCAGACTTGGAACCAGGAGACCAGGTATCATGATCAGAGTCTTCAGACTTGGAACCGGGAGACCAGGTATCAGGATCAGAGTGTTCAGACTTGGAACCAGGAGACCAGGTATCATGATCAGAGTCTGCAGACTTGGAACCGGGAGACCAGGTATCAGGATCAGAGTGTTCAGACTTGGAACCAGGAGACCGGGTATCAGGATCAGAGTCTTCAGACTTGGAACCAGGAGACCAGGTATCATGATCAGAGTCTTCAGACTTGGAACCAGGAGACCGGGTATCAGGATCAGACTCTTCAGACTTGGAACCAGGAGACCAGGTATCATGATCAGAGTCTTCAGACTTGGAACCAGGAGACCAGGTATCAGGATCAGAGTCTTGAGACTTGGAACCAGGAACCGGGTATCAGGATCAGAGTCTTGAGACTTGGAACCAGGAGACCAGGTACCATGATCAGAGTCTTGAGACTTGGAACCAGGAGACCAGGTATCAGGATCAGAGTCTGGAGACTTGGAACCAGGAGACCAGGTATCAGGATCAGAGTCTTGAGACTTGGAACCAGGAGACCAGGTACCATGATCAGAGTCTTGAGACTTGGAACCAGGAGACCAGGTATCAGGATCAGAGTCTTGAGCCTGCAGGAGACCAGGTATCAGGATCAGAGTCTTGAGCCTGCAGGAGACCAGACCCGGCTTTCAGAACGGAGAGGGCACGAGGTTTTTCTCCTCGCTTGTTGAGATTGGGGAGGGAGGGAGGGAGATGACGAATCGAAGGCCCCTTTGTCCACGACTCACCGCGGGCCCTCAACCCTTGGCCTTGTTGTGGTGGTGCCACAGGGCAAGTGGCTGGACCTGGCGAGCAAGGCCGGGAAGCACCTCCAGTTCAAGGAGAATTACGACAGGAACTCAAAGGTGAGAGAAGCAGCCACATCTCTACCACTCAGCTACATCTCTACCACTCAGCTACATCACTACCACTCAGCTACATCACTACCACTCAGCTACATCACTAACACTCAGCTACATTACTACCACTCAGCTACATCACTACCACTCAGCTACATCACTACCACTCAGCTACATCTCTACCACTCAGCTACATTACTACCACTCAGCTAACTCTCTACCACTCAGCTACATCTCTACCACTCAGCTACATTACTACCACTCAGCTACATCACTAACACTCAGCTACATTACTACCACTCAGCTACATCACTAACACTCAGCTAACTCTCTACCACTCAGCTACATCACTAACACTCAGCTCCATTACTACCACTCAGCTACATCACTACCACTCAGCTACATCACTACCACTCAGCTACACCTCTACCACTCAGCTACATCACTAACACTCAGCTACATCACTAACACTCAGCTACATCACTACCACTCAGCTACATCTCTACCACTCAGCTACATCACTAACACTCAGCTCCATTACTACCACTCAGCTACATCACTACCACTCAGCTACATCACTACCACTCAGCTACACCTCTACCACTCAGCTACATCACTAACACTCAGCTACATCACTACCACTCAGCTACATCACTACCACTCAGCTACATCTCTACCACTCAGCTACATCACTACCACTCAGCTACATCACTACCACTCAGCTAACTCTCTACCACTCAGCTACACCTCTACCACTCAGCTACATCACTACCACTCAGCTACATCACTACCACTCAGCTACATCACTACCACTCAGCTAACTCTCTACCACTCAGCTAACTCTCTACCACTCAGCTACATCACTACCACTCAGCTACATCACTACCACTCAGCTACACCTCTACCACTCAGCTACATCACTAACACCCAGCCACATCTCTACCACTCAGCTAACTCTCTACCACTCAGCTACATCACTAACACTCAGCTACATCACTACCACTCAGCTACATCACTACCACTCAGCTACACCTCTACCACTCAGCTACATCACTAACACTCAGCTACATCACTACCACTCAGCTACATCTCTACCACTCAGCTCCATCTCTACCACTCAGCTCCATCTCTACCACTCAGCTACATCACTAACACTCAGCTACATCACTACCACTCAGCTACATCACTACCACTCAGCTACACCTCTACCACTCAGCTACATCACTAACACTCAGCTACATCACTACCACTCAGCTACATCACTACCACTCAGCTACATCACTACCACTCAGCTACACCTCTACCACTCAGCTACATCACTAACACTCAGCTACATCACTACCACTCAGCTACATCACTACCACTCAGCTACACCTCTACCACTCAGCTACATCACTAACACTCAGCTACATCACTACCACTCAGCTACATCACTACCACTCAGCTACACCTCTACCACTCAGCTACATCACTAACACTCAGCTACATCACTACCACTCAGCTACATCACTACCACTCAGCTACATCTCTACCACTCAGCTACATCACTACCACTCAGCTACATCACTACCACTCAGCTAACTCTCTACCACTCAGCTACATCACTACCACTCAGCTCCATCACTACCACTCAGCTAAATCACTACCACTCAGCTACATCACTACCACTCAGCTACATCACTATCACTCAGCTACATCACTACCACTCAGCTACATCTCTACCACTCAGCTACATCTCTACCACTCAGCTACATCTCTACCACTCAGCTACATCACTACCACTCAGCTACATCTCTACCACCAGCTACATCACTACCACTCAGCTACATCACTACCACTCAGCTCCATCAATACCACTCAGCTAACTCTCTACCACTCAGCTACATCTCTACCACTCAGCTACATCACTACCACTCAGCTCCATCACTACCACTCAGCTACATCACTACCACACAGCTACATCTCTACTACTCAGCTACATCACTACCACTCAGCTACATCTCTACCACCAGCTACATCACTACCACTCAGCTACATCACTACCACTCAGCTACACCTCTACCACTCAGCTACATCATTAACACTCAGCTACATCACTACCACTCAGCTACATCACTACCACTCAGCTACATCACTACCACTCAGCTACACCTCTACCACTCAGCTACATCACTAACACTCAGCTACATCACTACCACTCAGCTACATCACTACCACTCAGCTACACCTCTACCACTCAGCTACATCACTACCACTCAGCTACATCACTACCACTCAGCTACATCACTACCACTCAGCTACACCTCTACCACTCAGCTACATCACTAACACTCAGCTACATCACTACCACTCAGCTACATCACTACCACTCAGCTACATCTCTACCACTCAGCTACATCACTACCACTCAGCTACATCACTACCACTCAGCTAACTCTCTACCACTCAGCTACATCACTACCACTCAGCTCCATCACTACCACTCAGCTAAATCACTACCACTCAGCTACATCACTACCACTCAGCTACATCACTATCACTCAGCTACATCACTACCACTCAGCTACATCTCTACCACTCAGCTACATCTCTACCACTCAGCTACATCTCTACCACTCAGCTACATCACTACCACTCAGCTACATCTCTACCACCAGCTACATCACTACCACTCAGCTACATCACTACCACTCAGCTCCATCAATACCACTCAGCTAACTCTCTACCACTCAGCTACATCTCTACCACTCAGCTACATCACTACCACTCAGCTCATCACTACCACTCAGCTACATCACTACCACACAGCTACATCTCTACTACTCAGCTACATCACTACCACTCAGCTACATCTCTACCACCAGCTACATCACTACCACTCAGCTACATCACTACCACTCAGCTCCATCAATACCACTCAGCTAACTCTCTACCACTCAGCTACATCTCTACCACTCAGCTACATCACTACCACTCAGCTCCATCACTACCACTCAGCTACATCTCTACCACTCAGCTACATCACTACCACTCAGCTAAATCACTACCACTCAGCTACATCTCTACCACTCAGCTACATCACTACCACTCAGCTCCATCACTACGACTCAGCTACATCACTACCACTCAGCTACATCACTATCACTCAGCTACATCACTACCACTCAGCTACATCTCTACCACTCAGCTACATCACTACCACTCAGCTACATCTCTACCACTCAGCTACATCTCTACCACCAGCTACATCACTACCACTCAGCTACATCACTACCACTCAGCTCCATCAATACCACTCAGCTAACTCTCTACCACTCAGCTACATCTCTACCACTCAGCTACATCACTACCACTCAGCTCCATCACTACCACTCAGCTACATAACTACCACACAGCTACATCTCTACTACTCAGCTACATCACTACCACTCAGCTACATCTCTACCACCAGCTACATCACTACCACTCAGCTACATCACTACCACTCAGCTCCATCAATACCACTCAGCTAACTCTCTACCACTCAGCTACATCTCTACCACTCAGCTACATCACTACCACTCAGCTCCATCACTACCACTCAGCTACATCACTACCACTCAGCTACATCACTACCACTCAGCTAAATCACTACCACTCAGCTACATCTCTACCACTCAGCTACATCACTACCACTCAGCTACATCTCTACCACCAGCTACATCACTACCACTCAGCTACATCACTACCACTCAGCTCCATCAATACCACTCAGCTAACTCTCTACCACTCAGCTACATCTCTACCACTCAGCTCCATCACTACCACTCAGCTACATCTCTACCACTCAGCTACATCACTACCACTCAGCTAAATCACTACCACTCAGCTACATCTCTACCACTCATCTACATCACTACCACTCAGCTACATCTCTACCACTCAGCTACATCTCTACCACCAGCTCCATCTCTACCAAAGCTACATCTCTACCACTCAGCTCCATCACTACCACTCAGCTACATCTCTACCACTCAGCTACATCACTACCACTCAGCTACATCTCTACCACCAGCTACATCACTACCACTCAGCTACATCACTACCACTCAGCTCCATCAATACCACTCAGCTAACTCTCTACCACTCAGCTACATCTCTACCACTCAGCTCCATCACTACCACTCAGCTACATCTCTACCACTCAGCTACATCACTACCACTCAGCTAAATCACTACCACTCAGCTACATCTCTACCACTCATCTACATCACTACCACTCAGCTACATCTCTACCACTCAGCTACATCTCTACCACCAGCTCCATCTCTACCAAAGCTACATCTCTACCACTCAGCTACATCTCTACCACTCAGCTACATCTCTACCACTCAGCTCCATCACTACCACTCAGCTCCATCTCTACCACTCAGCTAACTCTCTACCACTCAGCTACACCTCTACCACTCAGCTACATCACTACCACTCAGCTACATCACTACCACTCAGCTACATCTCTACCACTCAGCTACATCACTACCACTCAGCTACATCTCTACCACTCAGCTACATCACTACCACTCAGCTACACCTCTACCACTCAGCTACATCACTACCACTCAGCTACATCTCTACCTCTCAGCTACACCTCTACCACTCAGCTACATCACTACCACTCAGCTACATCACTACCACTCAGCTACATCTCTACCACTCAGCTACATCACTACCACTCAGCTACATCACTACCACTCAGCTACATCTCTACCACTCAGCTACATCACTACCACCCAGCTACATCACTACCACTCAGCTAACTCTCTACCACTCAGCTACATCACTGCCACTCAGCTAACTCTCTACCACTCAGCTACATCTCTACCACTCAGCTACATCACTACCACTCAGCTCCATTACTACCACACAGCTACATCACTACCACTCAGCTACATCACTACCACCCAGCTACATCTCTACCACTCAGCTACATCACTACCACTCAGCTACATCACTACAACTCAGCTACATCTCTACCACTCAGCTACACCTCTACCACTCAGCCACATCACTAACACTCAGCTACATCTCTACCACTCAGCTCCATCACTACCACTCAGCTCCATCACTAACACTCAGCTACATCTCTACCACTCAGCTACATCACTACCACTCAGCTACATCACTACCACTCAGCTACATCACTACCACTCAGCTACATCGCTACACCTCGGCTCCATCGCTTTGACCCTCCGCGGGGGAACTCATTCCACCCCCGTGCCTCAGATCTACTCGTACGAGATGAGAATCATCAAGGCGAAGGAGAGCTACGCGGGCAGCTACCGCTGCGAGGTGTCGGTGCGCGACAAAGCGGACACGGCCTACTTCGACCTCACCGTGGAAGGTGAGCGGCGGGTGGCGGTGCTGAGCGGCGGTGAGCCGCGGACAGACAGCCCACAGGGGCCATTGGTGGGCAACCCGGCTGTTGTGGCTCATCTCACTTTCGTGATGTCTCACTCCGTGTAGCACCCCCCCCACTTCCCGTTCCTCTCCACTTGGAATAAACTTTCTCTGTATGTTGGGCAACACTGCCACCCATAGACTCAATACTGCCACTCAGACTCAACACTGCTACCCATAGACTCAACACTGCTACCCATAGACTCAACACTGCCACTCAGACTCAACACTGCTACCCATAGACTCAACACTGCCACCCATAGACTCAGCACTGCCACTCATAGACTCAACACTGCCCCCCATAGACTCAACACTGCCACTCATAGACTCAACACTGCCACTCATAGACTCAACACTGCTACCCATTGCCTCAACACTGCCACGCATAGACTCAACACTGCCACCCATAGCCTCAACACTGCTACCCATAGACTCAATACTGCTACCCATAGACTCAACACTGCCACCCATAGGCTCAACACTGCCACTCATAGACTCAACACTGCTACCCATAGACTCAACACTGCCACTCAGACTCAACACTGCTACCCATAGACTCAACACTGCCACCCATAGACTCAGCACTGCCACTCATAGACTCAGCACTGCCACCCATAGACTCAACACTGCCACCTATAGACTCAACACTGCCACCCATATAGACTCAACACTGCTACCCATAGACTCAACACTGCCACCCCTAGACTCAACACTGCCTCCCATAGACTCAACACTGCCACCCATAGACTCAACACTGCCACCCATAGACTCAACACTGCCACCCATAGACTCAACACTGCCACCCATAGACTCAACATTGCCACCCATAGCCTCAACACTGCCACCCATAGACTCAACACTGCCACCTATAAACTTCGCCCTGCTCCGGAGTGGGGTGAGCAAGCCATTTGCAGACCTGCACATTTACCTTTTGCCGTGGCCGAGCAGCGCTGGACTCCTGCTGTCTGTTTGCTCTCTCTCTCTGTGGCAGCTCCTGCCGAGTCCGCAATCGATCTGAGAGCCGCGTTCAGAAGATCGTGAGTGAAACAAGAACACGCACACACCCTAGAACTTCCCGGTCTCCTGCATTCGAGTGGCGAGACTCTGATCCTGACACCCAGTCTCCTGGATCTGAGACTCAATGAGGACTGTGATCTAGACCCCGGTCTCCTGGATCTGAGACTCAATGAGGACTGTGATCTAGACCCTCGTCTCCTGGATCCCAGACTCAATGAGGACTGTGATCCTGACACCCAGTCTCCTGGATCTGAGACTCAATGAGGACTGTGATCCTGACACCCAGTCTCCTGGATCTGAGACTCAATGAGGACTGTGATCCTGACACCCAGTCTCCTGGATCTGAGACTCAATGAGGACTGTGATCTAGACCCCGGTCTCCTTGATCCCAGACTCAATGAGGACAATAATCGTGAAACCCGGTCTCCTGGAGATCCCAGTCTAATCCTGAAACCCGGCCTCTTGGATAAGAGTCTCAGTGAAGACTCTGATCCTGAATTTTGGCCTCCTGGGGTGCCAGTCTCTCAGGTGCCCCAATGTAAACCACCCCACTTGTGCGTGCCTCGTGAGTGAGTGAACGTCTCGCCCGTGAGACGTGAGCTGTCAAACTGAATTCACGTGTGGTGGGTTGTTGTTGTTGATGGTTACAGGAGCGGGGGTGAGGATGCGGGAGAGTTGGATTTCAGTGGCCTACTGAAGAAAGGGTAAGACCATCTTCTCTCTCTCTCTGTGTGTGTGTGTCTCTCTCTCTCCGTCTCTCTCATGAGATGCATAATGACTGTGAACCAGAGTCCTGAACCAACGCTCCTCCTGACTCCTGCCCGTCGCCGGCCCTCTCTTTGTCTTCCCAACACAACCATAGTTATATTTCAGCCCCCCAAGCTTTCTGTTGCCAGGGCACCCCCCCCCTCCTTTATCAATCACCTCTCGATTTGTTGTCATCAAAAGTACACCACCACCACTTACATTAACCTCAATTCTTAATTTCAATTATCACGCTATGTATAATTTTATAATTGCTAAGCGCCTTAGTAAAGGCGCTATTTAAGTTTCATTTTAAATAAGAAGATGAATCTCGGTCTACTGTCACCCCCCCCCCCCCTCCTCGTCCCAATTTCAGGCCAACGTTTTTGCATATGGGCTGAGCGAGTGAGCGAGCGAGCGAATGATCGATTGAGTGACCAAGTAAACGATACATTCACTGACTGGCTGAGCGAGCGATCCATCGACTGACTTAACAAGCGAGCGGTCCGTTGACTGACTTAACAAGCGAGCGGTCCGTTGACTGACTTAGCGACCAAGCGAGCGATTGAGTGACCAAGTGAGCGATTCATTCACTGACTGACTGAGCGAGCGATCCATTGACTAACTTAACAAGCTAGCGATCCATTGACTGACTTAGCGGGCAAGCGATCGATTGAGTGACCAAGTGAGAGATGCATTCACTGACTGACTGAGCGAGCGATCCATTGACTGACTTAACAAGCGAGCGATCCGTTGACTGACTTAACAAGCGAGCGGTCCGTTGACTGACTTAACAAGCGAGCGGTCCGTTGACTGACTTAACAAGCGAGCGATCCATTGACTGACTTAACAAGCGAGCGATCCGTTGACTGACTTAACAAGCGAGCGGTCCGTTGACTGACTGACCGAGCGTGCGAGAAATTGAGCGAGCGACCTCCTTCAACTCGGCAGGAAGGCGAAGGGTCCCGAGCAGCAGGAGCCCGACGTGGACGTGTGGGAGCTGCTGAAGAACGCGAAGCCATCGGAGTTCGAGAAGATCGCCTTCCAGTATGGCATCACCGACCTGCGCGGCCTCCTGCGGCGCCTCAAGCGGATGAAGCGCGAGGTTCAGAAGAGCCCAGGTGCGGTGCACACTGCCAACAACGACGACGGCATCGAGGGACAATGACAGCAGCCATGATTATTGTCGTCGCAGTCACGTAGCGCACGTGTTTCACAGCGGAGAGGCCTAGGGGAAACTCTAGCCGGTGGCAAGTGTCCCTGTGTGTGGCACAAGTTGAACGCAGTGGTCTGGCCTGCTAAAGTGGCAATTTGGCTGGCAGTAAGGGGCTGGGGGGGCGATGTTGATAGCTCAACAAAGTGGCTCATCGTGTGGCAATGTACAGCGGCAGCCCAGTAATCTGACCACGTGACGTTGATTCTAAATTCGGAGCGATAAACCGGAGGACCCGTAGAAAGAGAGAGAGAGAGACACGCAAACTCTAAATACACAGGAGGCGTAGTCAGGGTCGGGATCGAACCCACGACCTCCTGCAATAGCAGAAGACGGGAAGGAATTCAACAGCTGATCATCAGAGCAGTGGGAGAACCATCCCAAGCCGCCCAGCGTGTTTGCCTTGTTGTTGTTGTTTGTTTTTGTGGCCACGAGTGGGTGGGCAGGGTGCTGGCAGGACAGCGGGTGACACCTGTTGTGCCTCACAGCAAGAAGAGTCTGGGTTACATTCCTGACTCGAGCAACTGAACTCTGTGTATGGAGTAGTAATAGGTTTTTACCTTTTCATCTGGCACATAAACTGACACCTTTATACAAGGGATCATGTTTGCAATAACCACAGCACAAGTAGTCAAAATGCAAACAAAAAAGACAACTCTGATAATATGCACTGTCCTTGCATTTGATTGCATGTTCTCTCCCCCTGTTCTGCAGAGCGTGAGAGTGAGTGTAGTGTTTATTATCTTCTCCTGTTCTACAGAATGAGTGAGAGAGTGGAGTTTGTATGATCTCCCACTGTTCTGTAGAGTGAGCGAGTGGAGTTTGTATGATCTCCCTCTGTACTACAGAATGAGCGAGTGGAGTTTGTATGATCTCCCTCTGTTCTACAGAGTGAGTGAGTGGAGTTTGTATGATCTCCCCCTGTTCTACAGAGCGAGTGAGTGGAGTTTGTATGATCTCCCTCTGTTCTACAGAGTGAGTGCGTGGAGTTTGTATGATTTTCCCCTGTTCTGTAGAGTGAGTGAGTGGAGTTTGTGTGATCTCCCCCTGTTCTACAGAGTGAGTGAGTGGAGTTTGTATGATCTCCCTCTGTTCTACAGAGTGAGTGCGTGGAGTTTGTATGATTTTCCCCTGTTCTGTAGAGTGAGTGAGTGGAGTTTGTGTGATCTCCTCCTGTTCTACAGAGTGAGTGAGTGGAGTTTGTATGATCTCCCTCTGTTCTACAGAGTGAGTGCGTGGAGTTTGTATGATCTCCCTCTGTTCTACAGAGCGAGTGCGTGGAGTTTGTATGATTTTCCCCTGTTCTACAGAGTGAGTGAGTGGAGTTTGTGTGATCTCCCCCTGTTCTACAGAGTGAGTGAGTGGAGTTTGTATGATCTCCCTCTGTTCTACAGAGTGAGTGAGTGGAGTTTGTATGATCTCCCCCTATTCTACAGAGTGAGTGAGTGGAGTTTGTATGATCTCCCTCTGTTCTACAGAGTGAGTGAGTGGAGTTTGTATGATCTCCCTCTGTTCTACAGAGTGAGTGAGTGGAGTTTGTTTGATTTCTCTCTCCCTGTTCTGCACGTCAAGCGATTGTCGAATCGCCGTGACCCCCGACCCCGCTTGTTGTTGTTGTTGTTTATTGACACAGCTCCCCCTTTTTTCCCCCCCCTCATCGCAGCCGTGTTGCCATGTCTCATGGACGGGCTGACCGACCAACAGCGATCGCAACCACCTCGTCCCCCCTCCCCCCAATCTTTGTGTCGTCACAAACTGTGTCATCACACATTGTGTCGTCACACACTGTGTCATCATACACTGTGTCGTCACACACTGTGTCGTCACACACACGAGTAGTTGATCAAACACACGTGCTGTCGTCATTTCTTTTTTTTATCTCCGCAGCTTTTGTTGTTGTTATTGTTGTTGTTGTCATGTACGAGTTGTTTACAAACCTTAGTTCAATGTACCTAACCCGAGTAATGGTTTGTCAAAGGTTTGTGAGTTTACTCTCCTCATCCTTCCTCCTCTCCCCTCCTCCCTCCCCCTCTTCATTCTTCTTCCCCCTCCTCCTCTCCCCTCCCTCCTCATCTTCCTCCCTCCTCCTCATCCTCCCCCCCCTCCTCATCCTCCTCTCCCCTACCTGCTCTTTCCTCATCCTCCCCCCTCCCTCCTCCTCCTCCCCCCCTCCTCCCTCCTCATCCTCCTCCTCTCCCCTCCCTCATCATCCTCCTCCCCCTTCCTCCCTCCTCCTTCCTCGCTCGGGGTCTTATCAAGAGTGTATTTGCCCCAGCCATGTGGAATTTCCACCGCCCTGCTCCGCAGGGCTGGAGTCAGAAACGGATTGAGCACCGACAGACTTCTCATTGGTGCTCACTCGAGAACACGAAATTACTTCCGGCTCCGGGCGCGCGCGCGCGTGGTCAGGGAGCGGTGGCGCAGCGGTTAGCACGGCGCCCCTGCGCTATGAGCACGCCCGTCAACCCGAATTCGATTCCTCCGCTCACGGCCACCAGCGATAGCGATTATCTGATACCGATCGCTGGGCCAGGACGAGCGACTAAGCCTCCAAAAATGAGTACCCGGGTGTAGCGGTGTGTCGTAAAAACATCGCCACCGGGGAAGACAAAGGCGGCCGGGCGTGGTGGTGCTGGCGATCCACCCCCTCTGTGTGTGCCCACAGTGCGCCGGACTTCATAGGGCGCTGCTACTCGCTAACAGCAACTTGTCCCAACAGTCTGTTAAGGGATCTATGTCTTTGGTACAGGCGACATCGATGAGGATCTGTGTGCGTGTGTTCCGTTGTTTTTGATTCACGCTTGGACGTCACATCACAACATCCTTTGACCCTCGACAGCCGCTACACACCCACGCCACGCAGACATCACACACACACACGCCACACACACACACGCCACACACGCCACACACATGTTAGCATATACTATTTTCTCCGCATGTTTTAAGTCACCATTTAGCTCATTCAAGGTGACATTGGCCACACATAGTCCCTCTGCAAGCAGCGCGCTGGTTTCTTGTTGTTGTTCATCGGCCGTCAAAACGACATCCACGGCTTTCTTTAGCTTTTTATTTTGTCCGCGGTACATCGCGAGAGAAACTCCGGGGCCTCATTTTGAAAAATAATTACCGCCACTTTATAACTTTTTCTGCATTTGTTTTGCAAATGCTGTTTCTTCCCCCTTTATCTCTCACTCTCCTCTTCCTCTCGATCTCTCTTGTCTATTAAATGCAAACAACCACCACGACAACAACAACAACGGCAAACAAACAACCACCACGACAAACACGTTGCCGGACAATCGACCAGAGGGGTATCACATCGGAATTGAAACCTCTCACCCCCCCGGCACAAACAAAATATATCAACGACCGAAAAGAAGAAGTCACCGCACCTCTCATTCCTACATTCTTTCCCTCCGCTTGGACCCCTTCCTCTCCAATGCTTCTTACCACCACTCCCATCTTCACACACACATACACACTGCACCTCATTCCCCTCCTTCCCTTCCTTCGACTCACTTCCTTCCCTTCCCCACCATGATCCTCAAAGTCCATCTTGTTCTTCACCACACACACCACGACCTCTCATTCCTTCCTAACTTTGGACCCTCCCCCCTTTCCCCTCTAGTGCTTGCTCACACCCCCCATATCTTCACACACACACACCTCAACCCATTCCCCTCCTTCCGCTCCTCTCCCGATGACTCTATTTCCTTCCCTTCCCGAGTTTGTATCCCCACCATAACCCTCATCTTACTCTTCACCACACACACACACCACACCCCCTCCATTTGTCCCACCCCTCGCCGCTATGACCCCCCCCCCCCCATCCTGTCTCGTCCTTGTAACTCCCCACACCGCTCCTCCCCGCACACCACCACCACCGCCAACACCACCACCACAAGCTCCCGAAACCAATTACCGCCATCGTGAGTTTCCCCCGAAACTCAGAAAGATTTCCATCTAGAAAAAGGCGTCGTCCATCCGGTGGGTGAGCCCCTTCCTCCCTCCCCCCCCCCGTGTCAATTTGGGGGGTGGGAGAGTGGGTTGGTGGCACGCCGATCAAAATCAGAAGGCCATCGGATTTTGATCGAGATTTTATTTCCCGACTCCTTCTTCTTCTTCTTCCCCCTCCCACCCTGCCCCAACCCCCGACCAAATCTGTTTTTTTTTCCTTTTCTCTCCGGTGCTGTTCCAAATCTTCTTGGTGCCGATGTCAAAGAGAAATTCGGTAGAGATCCATCCTTTCTGGACTCGCTCTTTTTCTTAGTTTTCGTTGTTGTTGCTCGTTTACAAATAACGAAAACCCACCACCACCCACACTTTCTCACTTTTGAGTTCACCTCTCGCTTTGCTTCTTGTTCAAGCGGCGGCAGATGCCAAAAATGGTCGCGGCAGTGGTCTTGGGCAAAAAAATATATTTTTTGGCTGTCGGATGGTACCCATGGTTTAGAGGGAGCAAACATTGAAAAGTCATGAGCTTGGGAAAATAATATAGGCAGAGACATGAGATTACGGGAGTTTCAAACCATAGGGGCAGTGAAGGGGAGAATCAGCAACCTGCTACTGAGTAAAAGTTGATTTGGGGCTTTCCACAGGAAGCATTGGTCACTGAAACGTAGAGTGCTTGGAGGGGAGGCGAGTGAGATCAGAGGGGAGAGGCAGGAGAGTGCGTGGAGGGGAGTAGAGCAAGATGAGAGGGGAACGTAAGAGAGCGGACTAGCGGTAGATTTGAGCAGTCTAGCGGTAGACTCTGGTTGAATGAGAGGTGGTGCTAAAGGTATTGGAGTCTTAGCTATGGGCAGTGGAAGAAGAGAAGGAGGCATTTATTTTTGTATAGTTACCTGCAACAAAAACTTTGTAAAGACCAATTAGTAGAAGCGAACCGATGCGGTGAACTCAAAAAAGAGCCGGCGATCCCTGCATATAATCAATTTTTACCTTAAAATAATAGGTTTTTTTCCTCCAAAATGAAACCCAGTTGACCAGATGTATATCAACCCTTTTTTGGTTATATGCAAGACAGTCAAAGAATTCTTTCGCAGCTTTTTTTCTCTTTTTACTTTTGAAAGAATCCAACGTCTCACACCGTTACCATGACGTGACGTGACGCCTACCCCCCTCCCCCCCCGTCCCACCCTCACTCTGCATGTTTACAAATATTTGAAATGGCCAGTAAAAGCTTCTTATCGTGTTTCCTCTCGATGACTGTGTTGGAGTAGGAGTGGCGGGCGGTGGACCTGGCCGATGGAAACGTTGAGAGATGTCCGTCCAGGAAGTTCTGTCTCCTGCCGAGGTTTAATCGCAAAATTCAGGCGGTCACGTGGATAAAAATTCCGGCTGCCCCAAAAAAAGCGGCAATACAAAAAAATGGTGACAATATAAAATGGCGGCCTTACAAAATGGTGGAAAGTGATACAAATGGCGGACATAAAAATGGCGATGAGCTGAAAATGGTGGCTTAGAGTGGTAAGTCATCCTCACAGACAAATTTCCCCTCAGAGCAGATTAAACAAAAAGATTCAGCCCAAAATAAGTGTAGATATTGCTGATGCAGTGTGTTCTCAAAATATCAGGGCTGATTTAGAGGTGGTTTTGCCTTGGTATATCCATTGTCTTAGACAAAACGCTGTGATTTCCTTGAAGAACCAAATGTAGCCCATTTACGGCCTGCGATGCTATTTATATTGCACTTCATATTATACTAATGATGATAATATAAAACGGCAATATGAAAGGTAAAAAAATTAACGCGCCACAGAAAACCACGAGCCAATTCTGGATCGCACAGTCCAATGCTATGGTAGTTACAGACCCAGGAAACAAGACATGTTTACTGGGAGTGCAGTACTGAACGGACTTGCAATGGCGCGTGAGGTTTCTCTAACGGTGTTGCCAACTCAGCAATTTTGTCGCTAGATTGAGGGATTCTTGAGGGTTCCCCTTGCAATAAACTTGTTTGACCCGAGCGACGAATCCAAGCAAACATTTCCGAGATGTAGAGACGGTGCAGGCCTTATGAGCGACCCCTGGCTTGTTGTGTTGAGGATCGAAAATCAGTTTTATAAACGGATTATTTTGCGATGCGGCTGCTGCCACTGTTGCCAGTGGCACGCCAGCGCAACACATCCGCCACTAGCAGCACGTATGGTTTACTGAAGTGCCATTGTTTGGAAAATGTCACACGTTATAAATGTGTCCTTTTAAGGGCAACAAACGCCCCTTGGCCACTGAGTGGCGGTGACATCACCGCAGCGCTTGTGTGCACTTTTAAGGCCACGTGAAATGTGGCTCGCTGGCAGGAGGTCATGGAATATACCCAGGCACCGTGGGTTGACTCGCTGAAGATGACAGCCAGCCACTCGCAGAGGGGTGACTACTTCCTCCAAATATTGGAGGCATGGCAGACCCGGCAGGGTCCAAACTTAATTTTATATTTAAATTGTGGTCCTCTTGGTAATTGGATTTGAAGGTGGAGGGGTTACCAGCCCATGGCACCCGTCTGGAGCACTTTGAAGGCGACACACACGCGTAGCGTGGTTATTTGATGAACGTGCCGAGCTATTTTACTCTGCGTAACACGTTGTGGTGGGGGTAATTTTTTGCCTGGCCAAATTTTTCCCCAATGACTGTCAGAAGCTTGACCTCGCGACATGGTGGTAGTGACTTTTCTGAGGTTTGTTTGGTTTTCACGTTTACGCTTTGATGGGTTGGCGACACTGCACGGCATGGAGACCCGGCTGTATCCTGGGAAGGGAAGAAAAAAATGGGCAAGGTTGGGCCAACGGAAGCACGACGCTGGGATAGCATTGGGTTAACGTTAGCCCAACGCTCCATGTTTGACTGGATAACCACAAGCCATCAATGCTTTGCACACTTTTCAGTTTACTTTAGAAGTGCGATATCGTATTATCTTTAGAAAATAATTTTCCGGGTTCTCCCTCACTCCCCAAATCACTTGTCCTTTCAGGACATGGAACATGCATAAACATTACAGCGTTGGGCCAACGTTGGCATGTGATTGGGACCGTTGGCCCAATGTTGGCTCAATGTTCCACGTTTTACTTTTCTCACCGTTATGTCGAGGACAAACTGTACACAGTTGAGTCGGTAGGTCACAGGCCACCAGCCATCACTTATTCACTAGGGGTGACAAGAAAACAAATAAAGTTTAAAGTTACACTCGGCTGCTACCAGTGGATATTTATGAAACGATGTCCAACGTTTTACCCCACGGGCTGGGTAGCCCTCTTCAAGAGCTGAGCGAACTTCTGATCATTGATGAGATCTTCATCATCGTTGTCATCGTCAGCATTGTCAGCATTGAGAAATCGTTAATAATGGCATCATCATCGCCATTGTCCCACGGTGGCTCGGAGATGTTAACAAGCTAGCCTGGTATACAGGAGGTCGTTGGTTTGATCCCAACCCTGACGCCTGTTGTATATTTGGAATTTGAGTGTCTCTCTCCCCGTGGTCTCGTGGATTTTTCTCTGGGTGTTCCAGTTTTTCCCTCAACGTTTAAGAATCAATGTCACGGCATTTAGAGTATTTGGCTGCTACAAATTCCCACACGACGACGATGATGATGATGATAAGTCACTTCGTTGAGCTATCATTTGTGATAGCTAGGTCCGCTTCTGAAAAAAGTTAAATAGCTAAAAAATTTAAAGTTTTTAGTTTATAGTTTGTGGTCGTTACCCTAACATCATGAATTCGGCCAAACATCCAAATGTAGCAGGACCCTCTTAACAAAAAGGCTCATCGGATTCAGGCTTATTATCTACAATAGTTATTATGAGGATTATATACTGTTCAAAATATGGCTTACAAATTCAGCAAAACTCGGCTCTACCCATCCCTGCCTGGAATGGCGATGGCTGTCCGTGGCGGTCGGTGAGCACACGCAGCTCAACATCCAGTGCAGCTTTCCATTCGGTCTCCCGAAGGAGCGATCTGTGAAGCGAAAACGTCGGACATCGCTCGGCAGGTCAAATCTGGGAGCGCATCGGAGGAAGCTGCAGGGCCGGGGCATGGAAGCCCGAAGGAATTGTTGCCACCTTTGTGACCGCCTGAATTCAGCGAAACGGGCGCACCAATGTAGCGCGGCAGCGCAGGGACACGCGAGACCTCCCGTAGTATCGAGCCGGCACCGTCCCAGTAAACCGCATGCACCGTTGGCGTCGAAGTTGATGCAACATTGTTGGAGCGACGTTGGGCCGACTTTGCTTCGGTGTCGCGTTAATGTCGCGTCGACGTTGGGTCAGCATCGAGTCGGTGTTGCGTCCACGTCGGGCTGACGTTGCACCGACATCGCGTCAACGTTGCGTCAACGTCGCCCCGACGACTGCCCGGCGTAGCGACAACGTTGCATCAACGTTGGGCCAACGTTCCCCACCATTTACTGGGATGCAGCGGTGGCAGTGGAAACTGAATAAGAAGCAATGGCGCTTTTTTGCCGGGGGGGGGGGGGGGGTGGAGCGGGAGGGTGACCCCGTTGGGTGATTGCTTGCGGCGATTCTCCTTCGTCTGTTGTTGTTGTTGTTTGTTGTTGTTTGTTGTTTGGACCGAACACCCGAACCCCCACCGGGTGTCTTCAGATTGATTTAAAATTCCGTACGCCAACACGAAAATTACTCCAGCACCTCCACAACCACTCATCGTCGTCATCCTCATCATCATCCCAATCCGCCCCATCACCACCGTCCACCACCACCACATTGAGCCTCCGATTTTACATCAACTTTTTTTACTCTTCAAGCCGGCAACAGCCTTTCACCGAGTGTCAAGACTCCTTGCCAGGAGCGAGATATCTCTGCCTCCCCCTTCCAATTCTCGTGTTGCCATGCCCATTTTAAATCATTGAAGCCGTCACTGTCCGTCGTCCGGAGGCCTTTCCTTTGAGCCGCCGCGTCACCGTTGAGCTGTTGATTGACTGAACTCCCCCCAATCACCCCCCTCCACCACCCCCTCCAACCACCCGGCAGCTTTCAAGAAGAAGTTGGAGCCCACCTATCAGGTGGACAAGGGTGGCAAGGTACGCATGGTGGTGGAGCTCGAGGACCCCAACTCGGAGCACAAGTGGTACAAGAATGGCAAGGAGATTCGTCCTAGCGGGAAGTACGTACAAACGTGGTGGTGGTCGTGTTGGTGGTAGTAGTGGTAGTGGTCGTGTTGGTGGTAGTGATGGTGGTGGTGGGGAGCGGTGGCGGAGCGGTTAGCGTTGCGCTGCGCTACGACACCCGGCTATGACTCGGGTAGGATTTCCCAGCTCACGTGTTGCCATCACACCCATTGACGATTATCTGAACCGGTCCTGGGCCTCCCCCTGTGGTCGACTCAACCTCAAATGAGTACCTGGTGTGGTGTGTAGTCAGCATCGCTACTGGGGAGACAAAGGCGGCCCGGGCGTAGTATTGGCCACCGACCTCCTCGTGCGCCGTGCAAGCCTTCATAGGTGCTACCCACTAACAGCACTTGTCCCAACAGTCCGTTCAGGCTAGATGGAGGATCTTTGTCTTTGGTGGTGGTGGTGGGTGGTGGTGGTGGTGGTGGTGGCACAGCTGGTGCATCTGCCAGTCATCTCAGTCGGTCTACCAATGACACCTGCTGGGTCTGTCCCGTGACCTCATACCAGCCAGCCTTCCACAACACTTCAAGTGGCTCATATTCTTAGCACTTTCGGTAAAGTCACGTTGAAGGGAAACAATAAAATAATAAAATATATATAACAATAAAATTCTCACGACGTTTCGACTGCAACACAAACAGTCATCATCAGGTGTGAAAACCGTACGTTGGTTTTCACACCTGATGATGACCGTTTGTGTTACAGTCGAAACGTCGTGAGAATTTGTATTGTTTTATATATATTTTATTATTTTATTGCTTCCCTTCAACGTGACTTTACCGAAAGAACCAAGAATATAATTTGAAATGTAGTTCTTCTCTTTGATGACACAAACACCCACGAGATACTGTGCTCATCCTGCTAAAAGGCGATCCTCAGTAGAACGTGCTGCGAAGGCCGGGCCAACGTTGCTTGACGCTTGGCTGAGGTTGCGCCAACGTATGCATGCGTGTGTATGGTGAACTTCTTTCCCACCGTACGAGGCCAACCATGGCTTATCAGAGGTACGCCGGGGTGAGGACAACGGCGAGCAGGTCTAACAAAGTGAGTTTGTCAATCTAGAAGTGAAGCACTGCACGCTGTGGGGCGATGGGAAGAGCGTTCCAGACGGTCACAGAAGCGCATCTGAAAGCGCCGTGCGACGATGATGCGCTGACCACCGTCTTCGTTCGACGGTTCGCCAAAAGCCGCCGCTGCCGCTGCAGCGGTCGAGAGAAATGTTGCTTGGGATGTTGCGCCAACGTTGGGTCAATGTTGCTTGACGTCGGGTGAACGTTGGGCCAACGTCAACCAACGTTTGTCAACCCACGCCAGATACATCATGGAGTCGAAGGGGCTGGAGCGCATCCTCGTCATCAGCAACTGCAACGTGAACGACGACGCGGCGTACTCCATCGAGGTCGGGGACGAGAAGTCGTGCACGGAGCTCTTCGTGAGAGGTGAGCGCAAGGGGCCCGATGCTGGGTGTCAGTGTAACAGGATGCTGGGTGTCAGTGTAACAGGATGCTGGGTGTCAGTGTAAGAGGAGGCTGGGTGTCAGTGTAACAGGATGCTGGGTATCAGTGTAACAGGATGCTGGGTGTCAGTGTAAGAGGATGCTGGGTGTCAGTGTAACAGGATGCTGGGTATCAGTGTAACAGGATGCTGGGTGTCAGTGTAACAGGATGCTGGGTGTCAGTGTAACAGGATGCTGGGTGTCAGTGTAACAGGATGCTGGGTATCAGTGTAACAGGATGCTGGGTGTCAGTGTAACAGGATGCTGGGTATCAGTGTAACAGGATGCTGGGTGTCAGTGTAACAGGATGCTGGGTGTCAGTGTAACAGGATGCTGGGTATCAGTATAAAAGGATGCTGGTTGTCAGTGTAACAGGATGCTGGGTGTCAGTGTAACAGGATGCTGGGTGTCAGTGTAAGAGGATGCTGGGTGTCAGTGTAACAGGATGCTGGGTGTCAGTGTAAGAGGATGCTGGGTGTCAGTGTAAGAGGACGCTGGGTGTCAGTGTAACAGGATGCTGGGTGTCAGTGAGGACGCTGGGTGTCAGTGTAACAGGATGCTGGGTGTCAGTGTAAGAGGACGCTGGGTGTCAGTGTAACAGGATGCTGGGTGTCAGTGTAAGAGGATGCTGGGTGTCAGTGTAACAGGATGCTGGGTGTCAGTGTAACAGGATGCTGGGTGTCAGTGTAACAGGATGCTGGGTGTCAGTGTAACAGGATGCTGGGTGTCAGTGTAACAGGATGCTGGGTGTCAGTGTAAGAGGATGCTGGGTGTCAGTGCAAGAGGATGCTGGGTGTCAGTGTAACAGGACCCTGGGTGTCAGTGTAACAGGATGCTGGGTGTCAGTGTAAGAGGATGCTGGGTGTCAGTGTAACAGGATGCTGGGTGTCAGTGTAACAGGATGCTGGGTGTCAGTGTAACAGGATGCTGGGTGTCAGTGTAAGAGGATGCTGGGTGTCAGTGTAACAGGATGCTGGGTGTCAGTGTAACAGGATGCTGGGTGTCAGTGTAAGAGGAGGCTGGGTGTCAGTGTAACAGGATGCTGGGTATCAGTGTAACAGGATGCTGGGTGTCAGTGTAACAGGATGCTGGGTGTCAGTGTAACAGGATGCTGGGTATCAGTGTAACAGGATGCTGGGTGTCAGTGTAAGAGGATGCTGGGTGTCAGTGTAACAGGATGCTGGGTATCAGTGTAACAGGATGCTGGGTGTCAGTGTAACAGGATGCTGGGTGTCAGTGTAACAGGATGCTGGGTATCAGTATAACAGGATGCTGGGTGTCAGTGTAACAGGATGCTGGGTGTCAGTGTAAGAGGATGCTGGGTGTCAGTGTAACAGGATTCTGGGTGTCAGTGTAAGAGGATGCTGGGTGTCAGTGTAAGAGGACGCTGGGTGTCAGTGTAACAGGATGCTGGGTGTCAGTGTAACAGGATGCTGGGTGTCAGTGTAACAGGATGCTGGGTGTCAGTGTAACAGGATACTGGGTGTCAGTGTAAGAGGATGCTGGGTGTCAGTGCAAGAGGATGCTGGGTGTCAGTGTAACAGGACGCTGGGTGTCAGTGTAACAGGATGCTGGGTGTCAGTGTAAGAGGATGCTGGGTGTCAGTGTAACAGGATGCTGGGTGTCAGTGTAACAGGATGCTGGGTGTCAGTGTAACAGGATGCTGGGTGTCAGTGTAAGAGGATGCTGGGTGTCAGTGTAACAGGATGCTGGGTGTCAGTGTAAGAGGATGCTGGGTGTCAGTGTAAGAGGATGCTGGGTGTCAGTGTAAGAGGATGCTGGGTGTCAGTGTAAGAGGATGCTGGGTGTCAGTGTAAGAGGATGCTGGGTGTCAGTGTAACAGGATGCTGGGTGTCAGTGTAAGAGGATGCTGGGTGTCAGTGTAACAGGATGCTGGGTGTCAGTGTAACAGGATGCTGGGTGTCAGTGTAACAGGATGCTGGGTGTCAGTGTAAGAGGATGCTGGGTGTCAGTGTAAGAGGATGCTGGGTGTCAGTGTAACAGGATGCTGGGTGTCAGTGTAACAGGATGCTGGGTGTCAGTGTAAGAGGATGCTGGGTGTCAGTGTAACAGGATGCTGGGTGTCAGTGTAAGAGGATGCTGGGTGTCAGTGTAAGAGGATGCTGGGTGTCAGTGTAACAGGATGCTGGGTGTCAGTGTAACAGGATGCTGGGTGTCAGTGTAACAGGATGCTGGGTGTCAGTGTAAGAGGATGCTGGGTGTCAGTGTAACAGGATGCTGGGTGTCAGTGTAACAGGATGCTGGGTGTCAGTGTAACAGGATGCTGGGTGTCAGTGTAAGAGGATGCTGGGTGTCAGTGTAACAGGATGCTGGGTGTCAGTGTAAGAGGATGCTGGGTGTCAGTGTAAGAGGATGCTGGGTGTCAGTGTAAGAGGATGCTGGGTGTCAGTGTAACAGGATGCTGGGTGTCAGTGTAAGAGGATGCTGGGTGTCAGTGTAACAGGATGCTGGGTGTCAGTGTAACAGGATACTGGGTGTCAGTGTAAGAGGATGCTGGGTGTCAGTGTAACAGGATGCTGGGTGTCAGTGTAAGAGGATGCTGGGTGTCAGTGTAACAGGATGCTGGGTGTCAGTGTAACAGGATGCTGGGTGTCAGTGTAAGAGGATGCTGGATGTCAGTGTAACAGGATGCTGGGTGTCAGTGTAACAGGATGCTGGGTGTCAGTGTAACAGGATGCTGGGTGTCAGTGTAAGAGGATGCTGGGTGTCAGTGTAACAGGATGCTGGGTGTCAGTGTAACAGGATGCTGGGTGCCAGTGAGGATGCTGGGTGTCAGTGTAACAGGATGCTGGGTGTCAGTGTAAGAGGATGCTGGGTGTCAGTGTAACAGGATGCTGGGTGTCAGTGTAACAGGATGCTGGGTGTCAGGGAGGATGCTGGGTGTCAGTGAGGATGCTGGGTGTCAGTGTAACAGGATGCTGGGTGTCAGTGTAACAGGATGCTGGGTGTCAGTGTAACAGGATGCTGAGTGTCAGTGTAAGAGGATGCTGGGTGTCAGTGTAAGAGGATGCTGGGTGTCAGTGTAACAGGATGCTGGGTGTCAGTGTAACAGGATGCTGGGTGTCAGTGTAACAGGAAGCTGGGTGTCAGTGACGACGCTGGATGTCAGTGTAACAGGATGCTGGGTGTCAGTGAGGATGCTGGGTGTCAGTGTAAGAGGATGCTGGGTGTCAGTGAGGACGCTGGGTGTCAGTGTAACAGGATTCTGGGTGTCAGTGAGGATGCTGGGTGTCAGTGTAACAGGATGCTGGGTGTCAGTGAGGATGCTGGGTGTCAGTGTAAGAGGATGCTGGGTGTCAGTGTAAGAGGATGCTGGGTGTCAGTGAGGACGCTGGGTGTCAGTGTAAGAGGATGCTGGGTGTCAGTGTAACAGGATGCTGGGTGTCAGTGTAACAGGATGCTGGGTGTCAGTGTAAGAGGATGCTGGGTGTCAGTGTAAGAGGATGCTGGGTGTCAGTGAGGACGCTGGGTGTCAGTGTAAGAGGATGCTGGGTGTCAGTGTAACAGGATGCTGGGTGTCAATGTAAGAGGATGCTGGGTGTCAGTGTAAGAGGATGCTGGGTGTCAGTGTAACAGGATGCTGGGTGTCAGTGTAACAGGATGCTGGGTGTCAGTGTAACAGGATGCTGGGTGTCAGTGAGGACGCTGGGTGTCAGTGTAACAGGATGCTGGGTAGTCAGTGTAACAGATGCTGGGTGTCAGTGTAACAGGATGCTGGGTGTCAGTGTAACAGGATGCTGGGTGTCAGTGTAAGAGGATGCTGGGTGTCAGTGAACAGGATGCTGGGTGTCAGTGTAACAGGATGCTGGGTGTCAGTGTAACAGGATGCTGGGTGTCAGTGTAACAGGATGCTGGGTGTCAGTGTAACAGGATGCTGGGTGTCAGTGCAAGAGGATGCTGGGTGTCAGTGTAACAGGATGCTGAGTGTCAGTGTAACAGGATGCTGGGTGTCAGTGTAAGAGGATGCTGGGTGTCAGTGTAACAGGATGCTGGGTGTCAGTGGAGGATGCTGGGTGTCAGTGAGGATGCTGGGTGTCAGTGTAACAGGATGCTGGGTGTCAGTGTAACAGGATGCTGGGTGTCAGTGAGGATGCTGGGTGTCAGTGTAACAGGAGGCTGTGTGTCAGTGTAAGAGGATGCTGGGTGTCAGTGTAACTGGATGCTGGGTGTCAGTGTAAGAGGATGCTGGGTGTCAGTGTAACAGGATACTGGGTGTCAGTGTAACAGGATGCTGGGTGTCAGTGTAACAGGATGCTGGGTGTCAGTGAGGATGCTGGGTGTCAGTGTAACAGGATGCTGGGTGTCAGTGTAACAGGATGCTGGTGTCAGTGTAACAGGATGCTGGGTGTCAGTGTAACAGGATGCTGGGTGTCAGTGTAACATGATGCTGGGTGTCAGTGTAACAGGATGCTGGGTGTCAGTGTAACAGGATGCTGGGTGTCAGGGTACAGGATGCTGGGTGTCAGTGTAACAGGATGCTGGTGTCAGTGCAAGCAGGATGCTGGGTGTCAGTGTAACAGGATGCTGAGTCTCAGTGTAACAGGATGCTGGGTGTCAGTGTAAGAGGATGCTGGGTGTCAGTGTAAACAGGATGCTGGGTGTCAGTGAGGATGCTGGGTGTCAGTGAGGATGCTGGGTGTCAGTGTAACAGGATGCTGGGTGTCAGTGTAAGAGGATGCTGGGTGTCAGTGTAAGAGGATGCTGGGTGTCAGTGTAAGAGGATGCTGGGTGTCAGTGTAACAGGATGCTGGGTGTCAGTGTAACGAGGATGCTGGGTGGTCAGTGTAACAGGATGCTGGGTGTCAGTGTAACAGGATGCTGGGTGTCAGTGTAAGAGGATGCTGGGTGTCAGTGTAACAGGATGCTGAGTGTCAGTGTACGAGGATGCTGCGGTGTCAGTGTAACGAGGATGCTGGGTGTCAGTGTAACAGTGATGCTGGGTGTCAGTGTAGGATGTCTGGGATGTCAGTGTACAGGAGCTGGGTGTCAGTGTAACAGGATGCTGGGTGTCAGTGTAACAGGATGCTGGGTGTCATGTTAAGAGGATGCTGGGTGTCAGTGTAACAGGATGCTGGGTGTCAGTGTAACAGGATGCTGGGTGCCAGTGTAAGGATGCTGGGTGTCAGTGTAACAGGATGCTGGGTGTCAGTGTAAGAGGATCTGGGTGTCAGTGTAACAGGATGCTGGGTGTCAGTGTAACAGGATGCTGGGTGTCAGTGAGGATGCTGGGTGTCAGTGAAGGATGCTGAGTCTCAGTGTAACAGGATGCTGGGTGTCAGTGTAACAGGATGCTGGGTGTCAGTGTAACAGGATGCTGAGTGTCAGTGTAAGAGGATGCTGGGTGTCAGTGTAAGAGGATGCTGGGTGTCAGTGTAACAGGATGCTGGGTGTCAGTGTAACAGGATGCTGGGTGTCAGTGTAACAGGAAGCTGGGTGTCAGTGACGACGCTGGATGTCAGTGTAACAGGATGCTGGGTGTCAGTGAGGATGCTGGGTGTCAGTGTAAGAGGATGCTGGGTGTCAGTGTAAAGGATGCTGGGTGTCAGTGTAACAGGATGCTGGGTGTCAGTGAGGATGCTGGGTGTCAGTGTAACAGGATGCTGGGTGTCAGTGTAAGGATGCTGGGTGTCAGTGTAAGAGGATGCTGGGTGTCAGTGTAAGAGGATGCTGGGTGTCAGTGAAGGATGCTGGGTGTCAGTGTAAGAGGATGCTGGGTGTCAGTGTAACAGGATGCTGGGTGTCAGTGTAACAGGATGCTGGGTGTCAGTGTAAGAGGATGCTGGGTGTCAGTGTAAGAGGATGCTGGGTGTCAGTGAGGACGCTGGGTGTCAGTGTAAGAGGATGCTGGGTGTCAGTGTAACAGGATGCTGGGTGTCAATGTAAGAGGATGCTGGGTGTCAGTGTAAGAGGATGCTGGGTGTCAGTGTAACAGGATGCTGGGTGTCAGTGTAACAGGATGCTGGGTGTCAGTGTAACAGGATGCTGGGTGTCAGTGAGGACGCTGGGTGTCAGTGTAACAGGATGCTGGGAGTCAGTGTAACAGGATGCTGGGTGTCAGTGTAACAGGATGCTGGGTGTCAGTGTAACAGGATGCTGGGTGTCAGTGTAACAGGATGCTGGGTGTCAGTGTAACAGGATGCTGGGTGTCAATGTAAGAGGATGCTGGGTGTCAGTGTAAGAGGATGCTGGGTGTCAGTGTAACAGGATGCTGGGTGTCAGTGTAACAGGATGCTGGGTGTCAGGGTAACAGGATGCTGGGTGTCAGTGTAACAGGATGCTGGGTGTCAGTGCAAGAGGATGCTGGGTGTCAGTGTAACAGGATGCTGAGTCTCAGTGTAACAGGATGCTGGGTGTCAGTGTAAGAGGATGCTGGGTGTCAGTGTAACAGGATGCTGGGTGTCAGTGAGGATGCTGGGTGTCAGTGAGGATGCTGGGTGTCAGTGTAACAGGATGCTGGGTTTCAGTGAGGATGCTGGGTGTCAGTGAGGATGCTGGGTGTCAGTGTAACAGGATGCTGGGTGTCAGTGTAAGAGGATGCTGGGTGTCAGTGTAACAGGATGCTGGGTGTCAGTGTAACAGGATGCTGGGTGTCAGTGTAACAGGATGCTGGGTGTCAGTGTAACAGGATGCTGGGTGTCAGTGAGGATGCTGGGTGTCAGTGTAACAGGATGCTGGGTGTCAGTGTAAGAGGATGCTGGGTGTCAGTGTAACAGGATGCTGGGTGTCAGTGTAACAGGATGCTGGGTGTCAGTGTAACAGGATGCTGGGTGTCAGTGTAACAGGATGCTGGGTGTCAGTGTAACAGGATACTGGGTGTCAGTGTAACAGGATGCTGGGTGTCAGTGTAACAGGATGCTGGGTGTCAGTGTAACAGGATGCTGGGTGTCAGTGAGGATGCTGGGTGTCAGTGTAAGAGGATGCTGGGTGTCAGTGTAACAGGATGCTGGGTGTCAGTGTAAGAGGATGCTGGGTGTCAGTGTAACAGGATGCTGGGTGTCAGTGTAACAGGATGCTGGGTGTCAGTGTAACAGGATGCTGGGTGTCAGTGTAACAGGATGCTGGGTGTCAGTGTAACAGGATGCTGGGTGTCAGTGTAAGAGGATGCTGGGTGTCAGTGTAACAGGATGCTGGGTGTCAGTGTAACAGGATGCTGGGTGTCAGTGTAAGAGGATGCTGGGTGTCAGTGTAACAGGATGCTGGGTGTCAGTGTAACAGGATGCTGGGTGTCAGTGTAACAGGATGCTGGGTGTCAGTGTAACAGGATGCTGGGTGTCAGTGAGGATGCTGGGTGTCATTGTAAGAGGATGCTGGGTGTCAGTGTAACAGGATGCTGGGTGTCAGTGTAAGAGGATGCTGGGTGTCAGTGTAACAGGATGCTGGGTGTCAGTGTAAGAGGATGCTGGGTGTCAGTGTAACAGGATGCTGGGTGTCAGTGTAACAGGATGCTGGGTGTCAGTGTAACAGGATTCTGGGTGTCAATGTAACAGGATGCTGGGTGTCAGTGTAAGAGGATGCTGGGTGTCAGTGTAACAGGATTCTGGGTGTCAGTGTAACAGGATGCTGGGTGTCAGTGTAAGAGGAGGCTGGGTGTCAGTGTAACAGGATGCTGTGTGTCAGTGTAAGAGGATGCTGGGTGTCAGTGTAACAGGATGCTGGGTGTCAATGTAACAGGATGCTGGGTGTCAGTGTAACAGGATGCTGGGTGTCAATGTAACAGGATGCTGGGTGTCAGTGAGGATGCTGGGTGTCAGTGTAACAGGATGCTGGGTGTCAGTGAGGATGCTGGGTGCTGGGAGTGTCGACATTTGCCGAGCTGCATGCCACCCCCAGAGCCCCCCGTGACCACCACGTGATGTGCCCCCGCCCCCAGAGCCCCCCGTGACCACCACGTGATGTGCCACCCCCCGCCGCCAAAGCCCCCCGTGACCATCACGTGATGTGCCCCCGCTCCCAGAGCCCCCCGTGACCACCACGTGATGTGCCCCCCCCGCCCCCAGAGCCCCCCGTGACCACCACGTGATGTGCCCCCCAGAGCCCCCCGTGACCACCACGTGACCACCACGTGATGTGCCCCCCCCCGCCCCCAGAGCCCCCCGTGACCATCACGAAGCACCTGGAGGACAAGAACGTGCTGGCGGGGGAGCGTGTTGAGCTGGAGTGCGAGGTGTCCGAGGACGACGCGCAGGTCATCTGGTACGGGCGCTCCCTTCTCAATGGCCACAACAACAAACAACAACAACAAACAGCAATAAACACAACAATAACATTCAACTACCACAACAACCACAGCAATAACAACCACACCACAACAACAATCACAAAAAACAACGGCAACAATAATAAATAACAACAACAATAATAAATAACAACCACAACAACAACAATAAGAAACAACAATAAGAAATAACAACCACAACAACAATAACCACAACAACCACAATAATAAATAAGAACCACAACAACAACCACAACAACAACAATAATAAATAACAACCACAACAACAACCATAACAACAACAATAATAAATAACAACCACAACCATAACAACAACAATAATAAATAACAACAACAACCGCTACTCGCCACCCAGTGGCGGTGACGTCGCCATGGCGACCTGTTTTCGACAGGGGCAGCCACAACCACATCAACAACAAACAACAACAACAACCACCACCACTAAGTGGTCGGTAACGTCACCACAGCGCTCGTACGAACGTTGAACTTCTTTCGCACCATACGTAAACCAGCCACACTCAGTCGGAGGTGCAGGGGGAAGGACAACAAACTAAACACAACAACAAACTAAACACATCAACAAACTAAACACAACAACAAACTAAACACAACAACAACAACAAACTAAAAACAACAACAATCAAAAACATCACAAACTAAACACAACAACAAACTACACACAACAACAACAAACTACACACAACAACAACAACAAACTACACACAACAAACTAAAAACAACAACAACAATAACCTAAACACAACAACAACAAACTAAACACAACAACAATCTAAACACAACAACAACAAACTAAACACAACAACAACAAAATAAACACAACAAACTAAACACAACAACAAACGTGTGTAGTGTAGTGTATAGTGTAGTATGTAGTGTATAGTGTAGTATATAGTAGTGTAGTGTATAGTGTAGTGTATAGTAGTGTAGTGTATAGTGTAGTATGTAGTGTATAGTGTATAGTGTAGTATATAGTAGTGTAGTGTATAGTGTAGTGTATAGTGTAGTGTATAGTGTAGTGTATAGTGTAGTATGTAGTGTAGTGTATAGTGTAGTGTAGTGTATAGTAGTGTAGTGTATAGTGTAGTGTATAGTGTAGTATGTAGTGTAGTATATAGTGTAGTGTATAGTGTAGTATATAGTAGTGTGTGTATAGTGTAATATATAGTGTAGTGTATAGTGTAGTGTATAGTGTAGTATATAGTGTAGTGTATAGTGTAGTATATAGTGTAGTATATAGTGTAGTATACTGTTTTGTGTAGTGTAGTGTATAGTGTAGTGTATAGTGTAGTATACTGTATTGTGTAGTGTAGTGTATAGTGTAGTATATAGTGTAGTGTATAGTGTAGTATACTGTATTGTGTAGTGTAGTGTAGTATATAGTGTAGTGTATAGTGTAGTATGTAGTGTGGTATAGTATAGTGTACAGTGTAGTGTATAATTTAGTGTGTATTGTAGTATGTAGTGTAGTGTGTAGTGTAGTGTATAGTGTAGTGTATAGTATAGTGTAGTGTATAGTGCAGTGTAGTATATAGTGTATTGTAGAATGTAGTGTAGTATAATGTAGTATATAGTGTAGTGTATAGTGTAGTGTATAGTGTATTATGTAGCGTAGTATAGTGTAGTATATAGTGTAGTGTGTAGTGTAGTATGTAGTGTAGTATACTGTAGTGTATAGTGTAGTGTATATATAGTGTAGTGTATAGTGTGTAGTGTGGTATGTAGTGTAGTATATAGTGTAGTATATAGTGTAGTGTATAGTGTAGTATATAGTGTAGTATGTAGTGTAGTATAGTGTAGTGTATAGTGTAGTGTGTAGTATATAGTGTAGTGTGTAGTGTAGTATAGTGTAGTATATAGTGTAGTACATAGTGTAGTATATAGTGTAGTATGTAGTGTAGTATAGTGTAGTATATAGTGTAGTACATAGTGTAGTATATAGTGTAGTGTAGTGTATAGTGTAGTGTATAGTGTATAGTGTAGTGTGTAGTGTGTAGTATATAGTGTAGTATGTAGTGTAGTGTATAGTGTAGTGTAGTATATAGTGTAGTATGTAGTGTAGTATAGTGTAGTATATAGTGTAGTGTATAGTATACTGTAGTGTATATAGTAGTGTATAGTGTAGTGTAGTATATAGTGTAGTGTAGTACGTAGTGTAGTATATAGTGTAGTGTATAGTGTAGTGTGTAGTGTAGTGTATAGTGTAGTGTATAGTGTAGTGTAGTATATAGTGTAGTATGTAGTGTAGTATAGTGTAGTATATAGTGTAGTGTATAGTATACTGTAGTGTATATAGTAGTGTATAGTGTAGTGTAGTATATAGTGTAGTATGTAGTGTAGTATAGTGTAGTATATATTGTAGTGTATAGTATACTGTAGTGTATATAGTAGTGTATAGTGTAGTGTAGTATATAGTGTAGTGTAGTACGTAGTGTAGTATATAGTGTAGTGTATATATCATCTGAAAGCGCCGCGCGATGATGATGCAGTGACCACCGTCTTTGTTCGACGGTCAGGGTGGGCGCAGGTGGTGGTGGGAATGGCCCCCTTCTAACGGCCCCCACGCTCTCCCCACTCCCCCCACCATTCACCCCCACCCTCTCCCCACTCCCCCCACCCTCACCTGTCCCAACGGGGTGTGCCTCCACCCACCGAGAGTCAACGGTGGCCCCCAAACCACCGACACCCACCCCCACCCTCTCCCCACTCCCCCCACCATTCACACCCACCCCCTCCACTCACCCCCACCTACAACCCCTCACCCCACCACTCACTCCCACCCTCTCCTCACTCCCCTCACCACTCACTCCTTCTCCCCACCACTCCCCCTCCACTCCCCACTCACTCCCACCTGCACCCCCTCCCCACTCCCCTCACCACTCACTCCTTCCCCCCACCACTCCCCCTCCCCACTCACTCCCATCTGCACCCCCTCCCCCCACCACTCCCCCTCCCCACTCACCCCCACCTACAACCCCTCACCCCACCACTCACTCACACCCACTCCCCTCACCACTCACTCCTTCCCCCCACCACTCTCCCTCCCCACTCACTCCCATCTGCACCCCCTCCCCCCACCACTCCCCCTCCCCTCCATACTCACTCCCACCTGCACCCCCACCCCCCACCACTCACCCCGTCCCCCCACCACTCCCCCTCCCTTCACCACCCACTCCCACCCTCCCCCCACCATTCACCGCCCCCTCCCTCCCCACTGCAGGAAGAAGGACGGGCAGGAGATTTCGTTCGAGCGCTTCAAGTTCAAGTACCGCTTGAAGCAGGAGGGCAAGAAGCACACCCTGATCATCACCGAGCCCTCGCTCGAGGACATCGGCACCTACACCATCACGGCCAACGGCGGGGAGTCGAAGGCCAAGCTCGTCGTCGAGGGTGAGACACCGCTCTGCTGCTGCTGCCGGTGGTGGTGGTGGTGGAGGGTGTGGTGGTGGTGGTGGTGGAGGGTGTGGTGGTGGTGGTGGTGGTGGAGGGTGTGGTGGTGGTGGTAGAGGGGGTGGTGGTGGTGGTGGAGGGGGTGGTGGTGGTGGTGGTGGTGGTGGAGGGTGTGGTGGTGGTGGAGGGGGTAGTGGTGGTGGTGGAGGGTGTGGTGGTGGTGGTGGTGGAGGAGGGGGTGGTGGTGGTGGAGGGTGTAGCGGTGGTTGTGGAGGGTGTGGTGGTGGAGGGTGTAGTAGTGGTGGTGGAGGGGGTGGTGGTGGTGGAGGGGGTGGTGGTGGTGGAGGGTGTAGCGGTGGTGGTTGTGGTGTAAGGGTGTGGTGGTAGGTGTGGTGGTGTCGCGCTTGGTTGTGGTGGTGGTGGTGTAGGATCTGGTAGAGTTGGTGGCGGATCTGGTAGTGGTGATGGTGTAGGATCTGGTAGTCGTGGTGGTGTAGGATCTGGTAGTAGTGATAGTGGTGTAGGATCTGGTTGTGGTGGTGTAGGATCTGGTAGGGGTGATGGTGTAGGATCTGGTAGAGTTGGTGTAGGATCTGGTAGTGGTGATGGTGTAGGATCTGGTAGTGGTGATGGTGTAGGATCTGGTAGTGGTGATGGTGTAGGATCTGGTAGTGGTGATGGTGTAGGATCTGGTAGTGGTGATGGTATAGGATCTGGTAGTGGTGGTGGTGTAGGATCTGGTAGTGGTGGTGTAGGATCTGGTAGTGGTGGTGGTGGTGTAGGATCTGGTAGTAGTGGTGGTGTAGGATCTGGTAGTGGTGATGGTGTAGGATCTGGTAGTGGTGTATGATCTGGTAGTGGTGATGGTGTAGGATCTGGTAGTAGTGATGGTGTAGGATCTGGTTGTGGTGGTGTAGAATCTTGTAGTGGTGATGGTGTAGGATCTGGTAGTGGTGATGGTGTAGAATCTGGTAGGCATGGTGGTGTAGGATTTGGTAGTAGTGATAGTGGTGTAGGATCTGGTTGTGGTGGTGTAGGATCTGGTAGTGGTGATGGTGTAGGATCTGGTAGAGTTGGTGTCGGATCTGGTAGTGGTGATGGTGTAGGATCTGGTAGTGGTGATGGTGTAGGATCTGGTAGTGGTGATGGTGTAGGATCTGGTAGTGGTGATGGTGTAGGATCTGGTAGTGGTGATGGTGTAGGATCTGGTAGTGGTGGTGGTGTAGGATCTGGTAGTGGTGATGGTGTAGGATCTGGTAGTGGTGATGGTGTAGAATCTGGTAGGCATGGTGGTGTAGGATTTGGTAGTAGTGATAGTGGTGTAGGATCTGGTTGTGGTGGTGTAGGATCTGGTAGTGGTGATGGTGTAGGATCTGGTAGAGTTGGTGTCGGATCTGGTAGTGGTGATGGTGTAGGATCTGGTAGTGGTGATGGTGTAGGATCTGGTAGTGGTGATGGTGTAGGATCTGGTAGTGGTGATGGTGTAGGATCTGGTAGTGGTGATGGTGTAGGATCTGGTAGTGGTGGTGGTGTAGGATCTGGTAGTGGTGATGGTGTAGGATCTGGTAGTGGTGATGGTGTAGGATCTGGTAGTAGTGATGGTGTAGGATCTGGTCGTAGTGGTGGTGTAGGATCTGGTAGTAGTGATGGTGTAGGATCTGGTAGTGGTGGTGGTGTAGGATCTGGTAGTTGTGATGGTATAGGATCTGGTAGTGGTGATGGTGTAGGATATGGTAGTGGTGATGGTGTAGGATCTGGTAGTGGTGTATGATCTGGTAGTGGTGATGGTGTAAGATCTGGTAGTAGTGATGGTGTAGGATCTGGTTGTGGTGGTGTAGGATCTGGTAGTGGTGATGGTGTAGGATCTGGTAGTGGTGATGGTGTAGGATCTGGTAGTAGTGATGGTGTAGGATCTGGTAGTAGTGGTGGTGTAGGATCTGGTAGTAGTGATGGTGTAGGATCTGGTGGTAGTGGTGGTGTAGGATCTGGTAGTGGTGGTGGTGTAGGATCTGGTAGTAGTGGTGGTGTAGGATCTGGTAGTGGTGATGGTGTAGGATCTGGTAGTGGTGGTGGTGTAGGATCTGGTAGTTGTGATGGTATAGGATCTGGTAGTGGTGATGGTGTAGGATCTGGTAGTGGTGATGGTGTAGGATCTGGTAGTGGTGTATGATCTGGTAGTGGTGATGGTGTAGGATCTGGTAGTAGTGATGGTGTATGATCTGGTTGTGGTGGTGTAGAATCTGGTAGTGGTGATGGTGTAGGATCTGGTAGTGGTGATGGTGTAGGATCTGGTAGTAGTGGTGGTGTAGGATCTGGTAGTGGTGATGGTGTAGGATCTGGTAGTGGTGATGGTGTTGGATTTGGTAGTAGTAATGGTGTAGGATCTGGTGGTGGTGTAGGATCTGGTAGTGGTGGTGGTGGTGTAGGATCTGGTAGTAGTGGTGGTGTAGGATCTGGTAGTGGTGATGGTGTAGGATCTGGTAGTGGTGGTGGTGTAGGATCTGGTAGTAGTGATGGTGTAGGATCTGGTAGTGGTGGTGTAGGATCTGGTAGTAGTGATGGTGTAGGATCTGGTAGTGGTGATGGTGTAGGATCTGGTAGTGATGGTGTAGGATGTGGTAGTAGTGATGGTGTAGGATCTGGTAAAGGTGGTGGTGTAGCATCTGGTAGTGGTGATGGTGTAGGATCTGGTAGTGGTGGTGTAGGATCTGGTAGTAGTGATGGTGTAGGATCTGGTAGCCGTGGTGGTGTAGGATCTGGTACTAGTGATGGTGTAGGATCTTGTAGTAGTGATGGTGTGGTATCTGGTAGTGGTGGTGGTGTAAGATCTGGTAGTGGTGATGGTGTAGGATCTGGTAGTGGTGATGGTGTAGAATTTGGTAGTGGTGATGGTGTAGTATCTGGTAGTGGTGGTGGTGTAGGATCTGGTAGTAGTGGTGGTGTAGGATCTGGTAGTAGTGATGGTGTAGGATCTGGTAGTGGTGTATGATCTGGTAGTGGTGATGGTGTAGGATCTGGTAGTGGTGATGGTGTAGAATTTGGTAGTGGTGATGGTGTAGGATCTGGTAGTGGTGATGGTGTAGAATCTGGTAGTGGTGATGGCGTAGTATCTGGTAGTGGTGGTGGTGTAGGATCTGGTAGTAGTGGTGGTGTAGGATCTGGTAGTGGCGATGGTGTAGGATCTGGTAGTGATGGTGTAGGATCTGGTAGTAGTGATGGTGTAGGATCTGGTAGAGGTGGTGGTGTAGGATCTGGTAGTAGTGGTGGTGTAGGATCTGGTAGTGGTGATGGTGTAGTATCTGGTAGTGGTGGTGGTGTAGGATCTGGTAGTAGTGGTGGTGTAGGATCTGGTAGTGGTGGTGGTGGTGTAGGATCTGGTAGTGGTGGTGGTGTAGGATCTGGTAGTAGTGATGGTGTAGGATCTGGTAGTAGTGGTGGTGTAGGATTGTTTCTAAACCTTCCATCCCCCCCCACCCCCACGCGGCACCCTACAGAGAGGCAGATCCACATCCTGCACGACCTCTCCAACGTGACGCTGAAGCCCGGCGAGAACGCCGAGTTCATCCTCGAGGTGTCGGAGGACGTCCAGGGGAAGTGGTACCGTGACGGCGTCGAGGTGAAGCCCGACAAGCGCATCAAGGTGGTGAAGGATGGCAAGTGAGTCACGGTCACACACACACCACACCACTCACACACACACCTCTCACACATACACCACTCACACCACTCACACAACTCACACCACACACACCACTTACACCACACACACACACACCACACACACCACACACACACATCCCACCACTCACACCACACACACCACACCACTCACACCACACACACCACTCACACCACACCACTCACACCACACACACCACCCCCACTCACACCACTCACACCATACACACCACGCACACCACACCACTTACACTACCCCCACTCACACCACTCACACCATACACACCACTCACACCACACACACCACCCCCACTCACACCACTCACACCACTCACAGCACACACACCACACACACCACACCACTCACACCACTCACACCACACACACACCACACACACCACTCACACCATACACACCACGCACACCACACCACTTACACCACTCACACCACTCACAGCACTTGCCCAAAGAGTCTGTTGAGGCTACACCGGTGGTCTGGGGTGGGATCTTTGTCTTTGCACGCTTCCAGGACCCACAAGCTTCTGATCGAGAAGTGTGGCGTGGAGGACGAGGGCCTCTACAAGTTCGTGCCCTCCGGGTTCGACGTCTCGCTTCAGAGCAAGCTGCACATCATGCGTGAGTCGCCACCTCCGCCGTCTGCCTGCTGCCTGTGTCTCTCTCTCTGTGTCTCTCTGTGTGTGTGTCTGTGTGTGTCTCTCTCTGTGTGTGTGTCTCTCTCTCTGTGTCTGTGTGTGTCCCCCTGTGTCTCTGTGTGTGTGTCTCTCTGTGTGTCCCCCTGTGTCTCTCTGTGTCTCTGTGTGTGTGTGTCTCTGTGTGTGTCTCTCTGTGTGTGTGTCTGTCTCTGTGTCTCTCTGTGTCTCTCTCTGTGTCTCTGTGTCTCTCTCTGTGTGTCTCTATGTGTCTCTCTCTGTGTCTCTCTGTGTCTCTGTGTCTCTCTCTGTGTCTCTCTCTGTCTCTCTCTCTGTGTCCCCCTGTGTCTCTCTGTGTCTCTCTCTGTGTCTCTCTGTGTGTCTCTCTGTGTCTCTGTGTGTCTCTCTGTGTGTCTCTGTGTGTCTATCTGTGTCTCTGTGTGTGTGTCTGTCTCTGTGTCTCTGTGTGTCTGTGTGTGTCTCTCTGTGTCTCTGTGTGTCTCTGTGTGTCTCTCTGTGTGTCTCTCTGTGTGTCTCTCTGTGTCTCTCTCTGTGTCTCTCTGTGTGTCTCTCTGTGTCTCTCTGTGTGTCTCTCTGTCTCTCTGTGTGTCTCTCTCTGTGTCTCTCTCTGTGTCTCTCTGTGTGTGTCTGTGTGTATGTCTGTGTCTCTGTGTCTCTGTGTGTCTCTCTGTGTCTCTCTGTGTGTCTCTCTGTGTCTCTGTGTGTCTCTCTCTGTGTGTCTCTCTGTGTTTCTCTCTGTGTCTCTCTGTGTCTCTGTGTCTCTCTCTGTCTCTCTCTGTGTCTCTCTCTGTGTGTCCCCCTGTGTCTCTCTGTGTGTCTCTCTCTGTGTCTGTGTGTCTGTGTGTCTCTCTCTGTCTCTCTGTGTCTCTCTGTGTGTCTCTCTGTGTCTCTGTGTGTCTCTCTGTGTGTCTCTCTCTGTGTCTCTGTGTGTGTGTCTGTCTCTGTGTGTCTCTCTGTGTCTCTCTCTGTGTCTCTGTGTGTCTGTGTGTCTCTGTGTCTCTCTGTCTCTCTCTGTGTGTCCCCCTGTGTCTTTCTGTGTCTCTGTGTGTCTCTGTGTGTGTCTCTGTGTGTGTCTGTGTGTGTGTGTGTCTCTGTGTGTGTCTCTGTCTCTGTCTCCCTGTGTGTCTCTCTGTGTCTCTCTGTGTCTCTGTGTGTCTCTGTGTGTCTCTCTGTGTCTCTGTGTGTGTCTCTGTGTGTGTCTCTGTATCTGTCTCCCTGTGTGTCTCTTTGTGTCTCTCTGTGTCTCTGTGTCTCCCTCTGTGTCTCTGTGTGTCTGTGTGTCTCTGTGTGTCTCTGTGTCTCTCTCTGTGTGTCTGTGTGTCTCTGTGTGTCTCTGTGTCTCTCTCTGTGTGTCTGTGTGTGTGTCTGTCTCTGTGTCTCTGTGTGTCTCTCTCCCTGTGTGTGTCTCTGTGTGTCTCTCTCCCTGTGTGTTTCTCTGTGTGTCTCTCTCCCTGTGTGTCTCTGTGTGTGTCTCTCCATGTGTGTCTCTGTGTGTCTCTGTGTGTGTGTCTGTGTGTGTGTCTCTGTGTCTCTGTGTCTCTGTGTGTCTCTCTCCCTCTGTGTGTCTCTGTGTGTCTCTGTGTGTGTCTCTCCCTGTGTGTCTCTCTGTGTGTCTGTGTGTCTCTCTCCCTGTGTGTCTCTGTGTGTGTGTCTCTCTGTGTGTCTCTCTCCCTGTGTGTGTCTCTGTGTCTCTGTGTGTGTGTGTCTCTGTGTGTGTCTCTCTGCCTGTGTGTGTCTCTGTGTCTCCGTGTGTCTCTGTGTGTGTGTCTCTGTGTGTGTGTCTCTGTGTCTCTGTGTGTCTCTCTCCCTGTGTGTCTCTGTGTGTCTCTCCCTGTGTGTGTCTCTGTGTGTCTCTCTCTCCCCCTGTGTGTCTCTGTGTCTCGGTGTGTGTCTCTCCCCCTGTGTGTCTCTCCCTGTGTGTGTCTCTGTGTGTGTCTCTCCCTGTGTGTGTTTCTGTGTCTCTGTGTGTCTCTCTCTCCCTGTGTGTCTCTGTCTCCCTGCCTGTCTGTGTCTGTCTGTGTTGCTCTCTCTCTGCCTGTGTGTGTCTCTATGTCTCTGTGTGTCTCTCCCTGTGTGTGTCTCTGTGTCTCTCTCCTTGTGTGTCTCTGTGTCTCTGTCTGTGTCTCTCTCCCTGTGTGTGTCTCTGTGTGTCTCTCTCCCTGGTTGTCTCTGTGTCTCTCTCTGCCTGTGTGTGTCTCTGTGTGTCTCTCTCTCCCCCTGTGTATCTGTGTGTGTGTGTGTGTCTCCCTGTGTGTGTCTCTGTGTCTCTGTGTGTCTCTTTCCCTGTGTGTGTCTCTGTGTGTCTCTCTCTCCCTGTGTCTCTCTCCCTCTGTGTGTCTCTGTCTCCCTATGTGTATCTCTGTGTCTGTGTGTGTCTCTGTCTCCCTGTGTGTCTCTGTGTGTGTCTCTCTCCCTGTGTCCGTCTCTGTGTCTGTGTGTGTCTCTCTCCCTCTGTGTGTGTCTCTCTCCCTGTGTGTCTCTGTGTCTGTGTGTGTCTCTCTCCCTCTGTGTGTCTGTCTCCCTGTGTTTGTCTCTGTGTCTCTGTATGTCTCTCTCCCTGTGTGTCTCTGTCTCCCTGTGTTTGTCTCTGTGTGTGTCTCTTTCCCTGTGTGTGTCTCTGTCTCCCTGTGTGTCACTCTGTGTTTGTGTGTGTCTCTGTGTCTGGGTGTGTCTCTGTGTCTGTGTGTGTCTCTGTGTCTGTGTGTGTCTCTCTCCCTCTGTGTGTCTCTCTCCCTCTGTGTGTCTCTGTCTCCCTGTGTGTGTCTCTCTCCCTGTGTGTGTCTCTCTCCCTCTGTGTGTGTCTCTGTGTCTGTGTGTGTCTCTGTGTCTGTGTGTGTGTCTCTGTCTCTGTGTGTGTCTCTGTGTCTGTGTGTGTCTCTCTCTGTGTCTGTGTGTGTCTCTGTGTCTGTGTGTGTCTCTGTGTCTGTGTGTGTCTCTCTCTGTGTCTGTGTGTGTCTCTGTGTCTGTGTGTGTCTCTCTCCCTCTGTGTCTCTCTCTCCCTGTGTCTCTCTCCCTCTGTGTTTCTCTGTCTCCCTGTGTGTCTCTGTGTCTGTGTGTGTCTCTGTCTCCCTGTGTGTCTCTGTGTCTGTGTGTGTCTCTCTCCCTGTGTGTCTCTGTGTCTGTGTGTGTCTCTGTGTCTGGGTGTGTCTCTGTGTCTGTGTGTGTCTCTCTCCCTGTGTGTGTCTCTGTCTCCCTGTGTGTCTCTGTGTCTGTGTGTGTCTCTCTCCCTGTGTGTCTCTGTGTCTGTGTGTGTCTCTGTGTCTGGGTGTGTCTCTGTGTCTGTGTGTGCCTCTCTGTCTGTGTGTGTCTCTGTCTGTGTGTGTCTCCCTGTGTGTCTCTCTCCCTGTGTGTGTCTCTGTCTCCCTGTATGTCTCCCTGTGTGTCCCTCTCCCTGTGTGTGTCTCTGTCTCCCTGTGTGTCTCCCTGTGTGTGTCTCTCTCTCTGTGTCTCTGCCTCCCTGCGTCTCCCACTCATCTCTCTATCATCTCACACTCAACTCTCTCGCTCTCTCTCTCTCTTTGTCTGTGTGTGTCTCTGTCTCCCTGTGTGTCTCTCTCTCTCTGTGTGTGTCTCTCTCTCTGTGTCTCTGTCTCCCTGTGTGTGTCTCTGTCTCCCTGTGTGTCTCTGTCTCCCTGTGTGTGTCTCTGTCTCCCTGTGTGTGTAGAGTTGTCTCTCTGTGTGTGTCTCTGTCTCCCTGCGTCTCCCACTCATCTCCCTATCATCTCACACTCAACTCTCTCTCTCTGTCTGTGTGTGTCTCTGTCTCCCTGTGTGTGTCTCTGTCTCCCTGTGTGTCTCTCTGTGTGTCTCTCTGTGTGTGTGTGTCTGTCTCCCTGTGTGTCTCTGTCTGTGTGTGTCTCTGTCTCCCTGTGTGTGTCTCTGTCTCCCTGTGTGTCTCTCTGTGTGTCTCTCTGTGTGTGTGTGTCTGTCTCCCTGTGTGTCTCTGTCTGTGTGTGTCTCTGTCTCCCTGTGTGTGTCTCTGTCTCCCTGTGTGTCTCTCTGTGTGTCTCTCTCTCTGTGTGTGTGTCTGTCTCCCTGTGTGTCTCTTTGTGTGTGTCTCTGTCTCCCTGTGTGTCTCTGTCTGTGTCCGCGTCTTCCCCCGTCCGCCTTTGTGTCCCTGGCCCGGCAGAGGCTCCCAAGATGGAGTTGGACATGGACAAGAAGACTGGAGACAACACCATTGTGGTGGTGGCAGGGAACAAGCTGCGAGTGGAGCTGCACGTGACGGGAGACCCCGCACCCATGGTGGCCGGGAACAAGGGGGAGAGGGTGAGGCGTGGGAGAGGGGGGAGAGGGGACAGAGGGGAGAGAGGGACACGGGAGAGAGGGACACGGGAGAGAGGGGACAGGGGGAGAGAGGGGAGGGGGGAGAGAGGGGCACGTGGACAGAGGGGAGAGAGGGGAGAGGGACACGGGGAGAGAGGGGAGAGAGACACGGGGAGAGAGACACGTGGACAGAGGGGAGAGAGGGGAGAGGGGACAGAGGGACACGGGGAGAGTGGAGAGAGGGACATTGATTTTTTTTAACCTTCATCATTCTCCTTCACTGCCCCTCTATCCCCCTGCCAACCTCCCACCCCTGCCCCCCTGTGCCCCCCCCCCCCGGGCCCCCCTTAGACGATCCCCCCCACGACGGGCCGCGTGCACATGGAGAAGGACTCCCTGGTGCTGGAGGTGGCGGAGCGCGGGGACACGGGGCGCTACACCATCACGGCACAGAACGCGGCAGGAACCTGCACCATGCATGTCAACATCAAGGTGGTGGGTGAGTGAAGTCGTCACTCACTCACTTACAGACTCACTCACTCACACACACATTCACTTACACACTCACACACTCACTTACACACTCACACATTCACACACTCACTCACTCACCCACCCACACACTCACACACTCACTCATTCACACAATCACTCACTCACACACTCACACACTCACTCATTCACACAATCACTCACTCACACACTCACACACTCACTTACACACTCACACATTCACTCATTCACACACTCACTCACTCACCCACCCACACACTCACACACTCACTCATTCACACAATCACTCACTCACACACTCACACACTCACTCACTCATTCACACACTCACTTACACACTCACACACTCACTCACACACTCACTCACTCACACACTCACTCACACACTCACATACTCACTCACTCACACACTCACACACTCACTCACACACTCACTCACACACTTACTCACTCACACACTCACTCACTCACACACTCACACATTCACTCACTCACACACTCACACACTCACTCACTCATTCACACACTCACTTACACACTCACACACTCACTCACACACTCACTCACTCACACACTCACTCACTTACACACTCACTCACACACTCATTCACACACTCACTCACACACTCACACACTCACTCATTCACACACTCACACACTCATTCACATACTCACTCACTCACACACTCACTCATTCACACAATCACTCAGTCACACACTCACTCACACACTCACACATACACACACGTACACACACGCACACACCCACCCACTCACTCACCCACACACTCACCCACACACTCACTCACACACTCACTCACACATACACACACGTACACACGACACACATGCACACACACACGCACTGAAGGTGAATCAGGTCAACCTGATGATGAAGATGTTGACGATGATGCGTCTTTGTGTATGTGTACCTGTCTGTATGTGTATCTGTCTGTGTGTTTGTATTTGTGTTTGTGTATTTGTCTGTGTGTGTTTGTGTGTGTCTTTGTGTATGTGTACCTGTTTGTATGTGTATCTGTCTGTGTATCTGTCTGTGTGTGTGTTTATGTGTTTGTGTATTTGTCTGTGTGTGTTTGTGTGTGTCTTTGTGTGTTTGTGTGTCTGTCTATGTGTGCGTGTTTGTGTGTGTGTATCTGTCTGTGTGTGTCTGTGTATGTGTGTCTGTCTGTGTGTGTTTGTGTTTGTGTACCTGTCTGTATGTGTATCTTTCTGTGTATCTGTCTGTGTCTGTGTGTGTTTGTGTGTGTCTTTGTGTGTGTGTGTGTCTTTGTGTATCTGTCTGTGTATCTGTCTGTGTGTGTGTTTATGTGTTTGTGTATCTGTCTGTGTGTGTTTGTGTGTGTCTTTGTGTGTTTGTGTGTGTCTTTGTGTGTGTATCTCTCTGTGTGTTTGTGTATGTGTATCTGTCTGTGTCTGTGTGTGTTTGTGTGAGTCTTTGTGTATCTGTCTGTGTGTGTGTATTTGTGTATGTGTATATGTCTGTGTGTGTGTCTGTGTGTCTTTGTGTGTTTCTGTGTATGTCTATCTGTCTGTGTATCTGTCCGTGTATGTGTATTTGTGTATGTTTATCTGTCTGTGTGTTTGTGTGTTCGTGTATGTGTATCTGTCTGTGTGTGTGTGTTTGTGTATGTATATCTGTTTGTGTGTGTGTGTGTTTGTGTATGTGTATCTGTCTGTGTGTATTTGTGTATGTGTATCTGTCTGTGTGTGTTTGTGTGTGTTTGTGTATGTGTATCTGTGTGTGTGTATTTGTGTGTGTATTTGTGTATGTGTATCTGTTTGTGTGTGTTTGTGTATGTGTGTCTGTGTGTGTATGTGTGTGTATTTGCGTGTGTCTTTGTGTATGTCTATTTGCCTGTGTGTATCTGTCTGTGTGTTTGTGTATGTGTATCTGTCTGTGTGTTCGTGTATGTGTATCTGTCTGTTTGTGTGTGTTTGTGTATGTATATCTGTTTGTGTGTGTGTTTGTGTATGTGTATCTGTCTGTGTGTATTTGTGTATGTGTATCTGTCTGTGTGTGTTTGTGTATGTGTATCTGTGAGTGTATTTGTGTGTGTATTTGTGTATGTGTATCTGTTTGTGTGTGTGTGTTTGTGTATGTGTATCTGTGTGTGTATTTGTGTGTATTTGCGTGTGTATTTGTGTATGTATATCTGTTTGTGTGTGTGTTTGTGTATGTGTATCTGTCTGTGTGTTTGTGTGTTCGTGTATGTGTATCTGTCTGTGTGTGTTTGTGTGTGTGTATCTGTCTGTGTGTGTATTTGTGTATGTATATCTGTTTGTGTGTTTGTGTATGTGTATCTGTCTGCGTGTGTTTGTGTATCTGTCTGTGTGTGTTTGTGTGTGTGTGTTTGTGTATGTGTATCTGTCTGTGTGTATGTGTATCTATCTGTGTATGTTTGTGTCTGTGTATCTGTGTGTGTGTGTATTTGCGTGTGTATTTGTGTATGAATATCTGTTTGTGTGTGTGTGTTTCTGTGTCTGTGGTGCTAGTGTGGGGAGCGTTAGTGTAGTGGTTAGCGAGCTGCTCTTCGAGTTCGATTCACACTCACGGCCAACACCAGTGGCGATTATCTGAATCTGTCCTTTGACTCCCCTAAGTCGACTCAGCCTCAATCGAGTACCTGGTGTGGTGTGTAAACATCGCTACCGGGGGAGACAAAGGCGGCCGGGCGTAGTTCTGGCCACCCACCCATCCGTGTCCCATGCCGGCCTTCATAGGTGCTCGCTAACAGCACTTGCCACAACCAATCTGTTAAGGCTACACGGTGGATCTTTGTCTTTGTGCGCGTGTAGACATTCCAGACCCGCCCGAGTCTCCTGCCATCATCAGCATCGGCGAAGATTCGTGCGTGACCACGTGGAAGGCACCGCTGTACGACGGCGGGGAGCCCATCCTGGGTCAGAACACACACACAAATACAGACACACACAGACATATACAAACACATACACACACACAGATACAGACACACACAGATACAGACACACACAGACATACACACACAGATACAGACACACACACAGATACAGATACAGACACACAGACACACACACACAGACAGACACACACACAGACATACACACACAGACACACACACACACACAGACACAGACACACACACAGACACACACACACAGACACACACATAGACACCGAGCCATACACACAGACATACACACACGGACACACACACAAACAGGTAGGCTCTCACAGGCTGTTGGAGCACGTGCTGTCAGCTAATGCCTCCTTTCCTCCCTCCTGCCGATCCTCCACCACCTCATTCTGCTCCTCCTCCCCCTCCTCTTCCACCTCCTCCTTCTCCTCCTTCTCATTCTGTGTGCTCGTGTGCGTGCGTGTGGGTGTGCGTGCGTGTGTGCGTGTGTGTGCGTGCGTGTGTGTGCGTGTGCGTGCATGTGCGTGTGTGTGCGGGCGTGCGTGTGCGTATGTACGTGTGTGCGTGTGTGTGTGTGCGTGTGTGTGCGGGCGTGCGTGTGTGTGCGTGTACGTGTGTGCGTGTGTGTGCGTGTGTGTGCGTGTGTGTGTGCGTGTGTGTGCGTGTGCGTGCGTGTGCGTGCGTGCGTGTGTGCGTGCGTGTGTGTGCGTGCGTGTGTGGGCGTGTGCGTGCGTATGTACGTGTGTGCGAGTGTGTGTGTGCGTGTGTGTGCGGGCGTGCGTGTGTGTGCGTGTACGTGTGTGCGTGTGTGTGTGTGTGTGCGTGTGTGTGGGTGTGTGTGCGTGTGTGTGTGTGTGCGTGTGTGTGTGTGCGTGTGTGTGTGTGCGCAGGCTACGTGATCGAGCGCAAGAAGAAGCAGAGCCAGCGCTGGATGCGTCTCAACTTCGACGTGTGGAAGGAGCTGACCTACGAGGCCAAGGCCATGATGGAGGGGGTCCCCTACGAGATGCGGATCTGCGCCGTCAACGCCATTGGCATGTCGCTGCCCAGCGAGCCCTCCAAGCCCTTCGTGCCGCTCGGTAACGCCGTGAACGCTCGCTCCTCGCTCGGTCACTCGTGGGGCCGCTCACCCACACTGACACTCACCCACACTGACACTCACCCACACTGACACTCACCCACACTGACACTCACCCACACTGACACTCACCCACACTGACACTCACCCATACTGACACTCACGCACACTGACACTCACCCACACTTACACTCACCCACACTGACACTCACCCACACTGACGCTCACCCATACTGACGCTCACCCACACTGACACTCACCCACACTGACACTCACCCATACTGACACTCACCCACACTGACACTCACCCACACTGCCATCACACACACTGACACTCACCCATACTGCCACTCACCCACACTGACACTCACCCACACTGACACTCACCCACACTGACACTCACCCACACTGACATCACCTACACTGCCGCTCACCCACACTGCCGCTAACCCACACCTCTACTCACCCACACTGACACTCACCCACACCGCCGCTCACCCACACTGACACTCACCCACACTGACACTCACCCACACTACCACTAACCCACACTACCATCACCCACACTGCCACTCACCCACACTGACACTCACCCACACTGCCACTCACCCACACTGCCACTCACCCATACTGCCACTCACCCACACTGACACTCACCCACACTACCATCACCCACACTGCCATCACCCACACTACCATCACCCACACTGACACTCACCCACACTGCCACTCACCCACACTGCCACCCACGCTGCCACCCACACTGCCACCCACCCACACTGCCACCCTCACTGCCACCCACACTGCCACCCACCCACACTGCCATCACCCACACTGCCATCACCTACACTGACACTCACCCACACTGCCACCCACCCACACTGCCACCCTCACTGCCACCCACACTGCCACCCACCCACACTGCCACCCCCCACACTGCCTCCCACACTGCCACCCACCCACACTGCCACCCTCACAGTCTGTGCAGTGGCTACACGGGGGACCGTTGTGTTTGTGTGGCGCAGCTCCCACCAGCGAGCCCTCGCACCTCATCGCCGACGACATCACGGACAACAGCATCTGCCTCAAGTGGAAGCAGCCAGAGAGGATCGGAGCGGCCGGCCTGGACGGCTACCGCATTGAGTACTGTGCAGAGGGATGTGAGTGACGCGGCGGTGGTGGTGGAGGTGGTGGTGGTGGTGGTGGTGACGGCGGCGGTGGTGGTGGTGGTGGCTGTGGCGGCGGTGGTGGTGGCGGTGGCGGTGGAGGTGGTGTTAGTGGTGGTGGCGGTGTTGGTGGTGGTGGCGGTGTTGGTGGAGGTGGTGGTGGTGGCAGTGTTGGTGGAGGTGGCGGTGGTGTTGTTGGTGGTGGTGGTGGCGGTGTTGGTGGTGGTGGTGGTGGCGGTGGTGGTGGTGGAGGTGGTGGTGGTGGAGGCGGTGGAGGTGGTGGTGGTGGCGGTGGAGGTGGTGGTGGTGTTGGTGGTGGTGGTGGAGGTGGTGGTGTTGGTGGTGGTGGTGGAGGCGGCGGCGGCAGTGGTGGTGGTGGCGGTGGTGGTGGTAGCTGAAGATGATGACGATGATGACAATGCCGTTGACAATGACGATGATGATGACGACGATGACGACAATGATGCCGATGATGACAATGCCGTTGACAATGATGAGGCTGATGACGACGCCGACATTGCCGTTGCAGCCACGGACTGGGTGAAGGTGAACCCGGACAAGCTGATCGATGACACGTCGTACGTGGTGCGTGACCTCCCCAAGGACGCGAAGCTCTTCTTCCGCGTCATCGCCGTCAACGCGGCCGGCGACAGCCAGCCCTGCACCACCTCGCAGGCCATCACCATCCGCGAGCTCGTGTGTACGGGACTCACTCACATCGCTATCATCATCAGTAGCATCACCATCATCATCAGTAGCATCACCATCATCAATAATAACATCACCATCATCATCAGTAGCATCACCATCATCAATAATAACATCATCATCCGCGAGCGCGTGTGTACGGGACTCACTCACATCGTGAAAATCATCACCATCGCTATCATCATCAGTAACATCACCATCATCAATAATAACATCATCATCATGACCAGCCCCATCGTGAGCATCATCACATTATGTCCCTCCATCCCTTCCAACCCTCCCTCCCTCCCTCCTCTCTCTGTATCTCTCTCTGTGTGTCTCTCTGTGTCTCTCTGTGTGTCTCTCTGTGTGTCTCTCTGTGTGTCTCTGTGTCTCTATCTGTGTGTCTCTCTGTGTCTCTCTGTGTGTCTCTGTGTGTCTCTCTCTGTGTCTCTGTGGTTCTGTCTCTGTGTCTCTCTGTGTGTCTCTCTCTGTGTCTCTCTCTGTGTGTTTCTCTCTGTGTGTCTGTGTCTCTGTGTGTCTCTCTCTGTGTGTCTCTCTCTGTGTGTCTCTCTGTGTCTCTCTCTGTGTGTCTCTCTGTGTGTCTCTCTGTGTCTGTCTCTGTGTGTCTCTCTCTGTGTGTCTCTGTGTCTCTCTTTGTGTGTTTCTCTCGGAGTGTCTTTGTGTCTCTGTGTGTGTCTCTGTGTGTGTCTCTCTCTGTGTGTCTCTGTGGTTCTGTCTCTGTGTCTCTCTGTGTGTCTCTCTCTGTGTGTCTTTCTCTGTGTGTCTCTGTGTCTCTCTGTGTGTTTCTCTCTGTGTGTCTGTGTCTCTGTGTGTCTCTCTCTGTGTGTCTCTCTGTGTGTCTCTCTGTGTCTCTCTCTGTGTGTCTCTCTCTGTGTGTCTCTGTGTCTCTCTCTCTGTGTTTCTCTCTGTGTGTCTGTGTCTCTGTGTGTATCTCTCTGTGTGTCTCTCTTTGTGTCTCTCTGTGTCTCTTTCTCTGTGTCTCTCTGTGTGTCTCTCTCTGTGTGTCTCTGTGTCTCTCTTTGTGTGTCTCTGTGTCTCTCTTTGTGTGTTTCTCTCTGTGTGTCTCTATGTGTCTCTGTGTCTCTGTGTCTCTCTCTGTGTGTCTCTCTCTGTGTGTCTGTGTCTCTCTTTGTGTGTTTCTCTCTGTGTGTCTCTCTCTGTGTGTCTCTCTCTGTGTGTCTCTCTCTGTGTCTCTCCGTGTGTCTCTCTCCGTGTGTCTCTCTCCGTGTGTCTCTGTGTCTCTTTCCGTGTGCCTCTCCCTCTCTAACTATATTTCCGTGCGTGCCTCTGTCTGTGAGTGTCTCTCCATCTCTCCGTGTCTCTCTCCGTATCTGCGCAGTCCCACCTAAGATCATGGTGCCCAGACATCTCCGGCAGAATTACATCAAGAAAGTTGGAGAGACGGTCAACATCGTCGTGCCGTTCCATGTGAGTTTCGCTCGCCCGGCGAGAATCGCTCACACAGGTGAGCCTCGCTCGCCCGGTGAGCCTCGCTCACCCGGCGAGACTCGCTCACACAGGTGAGTCTCGCTCGCCCGGTGAGTCTCGCTCGCCCGGTGAGACTCGCTCAGACAGGTGTGCCTCGCTCGCCCGGTGAGACTCGCTCACACAGGTGAGTCTCGCTCGCCCGGTGAGCCTCGCTCACCCGGCGAGACTCGCTCACACAGGTGTTCCTCGCTCGCCCGGCGAGACTCGCTCGCTCGCCCGGCGAGACTCGCTCCCTCGCCCGGCGAGACTCGCTCGCCCGGTGAGCCTCGCTCACCCGGCGAGACTCGCTCGCTCGCCCGGCGAGACTCGCTCGCTCGCCCGGCGAGACTCGCTCGCTCGCCCGGCGAGACTCGCTCGCTCGCCCGGCGAGACTCGCTCGCTCGCCCGGCGAGCCTCGCTCGCTCGCCCGGCGAGCCTCGCTCGCTCGCCCGGCGAGCCTCGCTCGCTCGCCCGGCGAGCCTCGCTCGCTCGCCCGGCGAGACTCGCTCGCTCGCCCGGCGAGACTCGCTCGCTCGCCCGGCGAGACTCGCTCACTCGGTCAGCCTCGCTCACACAGGTGAGACTCGTTCACTCGGTGAGACTCGTTCACTCAGTGAGACTCGCTCACACAGGTGAGACTCGTTTACTCGGTGAGACTCGTTCACTCGGTGAGACTCGCTCACACAGGCGAGACTCGTTCACTCGGTGAGACTCGCTCACACAGGTGAGACTCGTTCACTCGGTGAGACTCGCTCACCCGGTGAGACTCGCTCACCCGGTGAGACTCGCTCACACAGGTGAGACTCGTTCACTCGGTGAGACTCGCTCACTCGGTGAGCCTCGCTCACACAGGTGAGACTCGTTCACTCGGTGAGACTCGCTCACTCGGTGAGCCTCGCTCACACTGATGAGACTCGTTCACTCGGTGAGACTCGCTCACACAGGTGAGACTCGTTCACTCGGTGAGACTCGCTCACACAGGTGAGACTCGTTCACTCGGTGAGGCTCGCTCACACAGGTGACACTCGTTCACTCGGTGAGACTCGTTCACTCGGTGAGACTCGCTCACACAGGTGAGACTCGTTCACTCGGTGAGACGCTCACTCGGTGAGCCTCGCTCACACAAGTGAGACTCGTTCACTCGGTGAGACTCGTTCACTCGGTGAGACTCGCTCACACAGGTGAGTCTCGTTCACTCGGTGAGACTCGCTCACTCGGTGAGCCTCGCTCACACAAGTGAGACTCGTTCACTCGGTGAGACTCGCTCACTCGGTGAGCCTCGCTCACACAGGTGAGACTCGTTCACTCGGTGAGACTCGCTCACACAGGTGAGACTCGTTCACTCGGTAAGACTCGCTCACACAGGTGAGACTCGTTCTCTTGGTGAGACTCGTTCACTCGGTGAGACTCGCTCACACAGGTGAGACTCGTTCACTCGGTGAGACTCGCTCACACAGGTGAGACTCGTTCACTTGGTGAGACTCGTTCACTCGGTGAGACTCGCCCACACAGGTGAGCCTCGCTCACTCGGTGTGTGCGTGCGTGGTGCTCGCCAGGGCAAGCCGAGGCCCAAGGTCACGTGGCTCAAGGACGGCCAGGTGCCCGACGTGAAGCAGGTGAACATCCGCAACAGCGACAACGACTCCATCCTCTTCATCCGCAAGTCGCTGCGCAGCGATTCGGGGATCTACGTCCTCACCGTGCAGGTGGAGGACATCGTGGAGACGGCCAACATCACCGTGCAGATCGTCGGTACGTGCACGCCTGTGTTGTGTGCGTGTGTGTGTGTGTACGCTTGTGTTGTGTGCGTGTGTGGTGTACGTGTGTGTTGTACGTGTGTGGTGTACGCGTGTGTTGTGTGCGTGTGTGTTGTACGTGTGTGTTGTACGTGTGTGGTGTACGCGTGTGTTGTGTGTGGTGTAGGCGTGTGTTGTGTGTGTTGTGTGCGTGTGTTGTGTGTGTTGTGTGTGTTGTGTGCGTGTGTTGTGTGTGTGTGTTGCGTGTGTTGTGTGTGGTGTAGGCGTGTGTTGTGTGTGTTGTGTGCGTGTGTGTTGTACGTGTGTGGTGTACGCGTGTGTTGTGTGTGGTGTAGGCGTGTGTTGTGCGCGTGTGTGTTGTGTGTGTTGTGTGTGGTGTAGGCGTGTGTTGTATACGTGTGTGTGGTATAGGCGTGTGTTGTGTGTGTGTACACGTGTGTTGTGTGTGTTGTGTGTGTACGCGTGTGTTGTTTGTGTTGTTTGTGTTGTGTGTGTACACGTGTGTTTTGTGTGTGTGTGTGGTGCACGTGTGTTGTGTGTGCGTGTGTGTGGTGTAGGCGTGTGTTGTGTGTGTGGTGTGTGCGTGTGCACGTGTGTGTTGTGTGTGTGTAAGCGTGTGTTGTGTGTGGTGTACGCCTGTGTTGTGTGTGTGTACACGTGTGTGTTGTGTGTGTGTTGTGGGTGTGTTGTGTGTGTGTTGTGTGTGTACGCGTGTGTTGTGTGCGTGTGTGTGGTGCAGGCGTGTGTTGTGCACGTGTGTGTTGTGTGTGTGGTGTGTGCGTGTGCACGTGTATGTTGTGTGTGTGTGTACGCGTGTGTTGTGTGTGTTGTGTGTGTACGCGTGTGTTGTGTGTACGTGTGTGTGGTGCACGCGTGTGTTGTGTGTGTGTGGTCCACTTGTGTGTTGTGTGTGTGTGGTGCACTCGTGTGTTGTGTGTTGTGTGTGTGTACGCGTGTGTGTGTACGTGTGTGTTGTGTGTGTGTGCGCGTGTGTTGTGTGTGTGTGTACGTGTGTGTTGTGTGTGTGTGTACGCGTGTGTTGTGTGTGTGTGTACGTGTGTGTTGTGTGTGTACGCGTGTGTTGTGTGTGTGTGTAGGCGTGTGTTGTGTGTGTGTACGCGTGTGTTCTGTGTGTGTGTTGTGTGTGCGTACGTGTGTGTTGTGTGTGTGTGTGTGCACGTGTGTTGTGTGTGTACGCGTGTGTTGTGTGTGCGTACGCGTGTGTTGTGTGTGTGTACACGCGTGTTGTGTGTGTGTGTACATGCGTGTTGTGTGTGTGTGTACGCGTTTGTATGTGTGGTGTGTGGTGCTCGCGTGTGTTGTGTGTGTGTGTGGTGCACGCGTGTGTTGTGTATGTGTGTGTGGTGTACGCGTGTTTTGTGTGTGTGTACGCGTGTGTTGTGTGTGTGTGTACGTGTGTGTTGTGTGTGTGTGTTGTGTGTGTGTGTGCGCGTGTGTTGTGTGTGTGTGTACGTGTGTGTTGTGTGTGTGTGTTTGTGTGTGTGCGTGCGCGTGTGTTGTGTGTGTGTGTACGTGTGTGTTGTGTGTGTGTGTTGTGTGTGTGTGTGCGCGTGTGTTGTGTGTGTGTACGCGTGTGTTGTGTGTGTGTGTACGCGTGTGTTGTGTGTGTGTGTGCGCGTGTGTTGTGTGTGTCTACGCGTGTGTTGTGTGTGTGTACGCGTGTGTTGTGTGTGTGTGTGCACGCGTGTGTTGTGTGTGTGCACGCGTGTGTTGTGTGTGTGTGTGCACGCGCGTGTTGTGTGTGTGTGTGTACGCGCGTGTTGTGTGTGTGTGTACGCGCGTGTTGTGTGTGTGTGTACACGCGTGTTGTGTGTGTGTACACGCGTTTGTATGTGTGGTGTGTGGTGTGTGTTGTGTGTGTGTGTACGCATGTGTTGTGTGTGTGTGTGCACATGCGTGGGTGTGTATGTGAGCGTGCGAGTATACGTGTGCGTGTGTGTGAGCGTGGTAGTATATGTGTGTGTGCGTGTGTGTGCGTGCGAGTATACGTGTTTGTGTGTACGAGTGTACGAGTGTGCGTGTGTGTGAGCGTGGTAGTATACGTGTGTGTGCGTGTGTGTGCGTGCGAGTATACGTGAGTGTGTGTACGAGTATACGTGTCCGTGCGTGTGTGAGCGTGGTAGTATACATATGCGTGTGTGTGTGTGCGAGTATACGTGTGTGTGTGTGTGCGAGTATACGTGTGCGTGCGTGCGTGTGCGTGCGAGTATACGTGTGTGTATGTGCGAGTATACGTGTGCGCGTGTGTGCGAGCGTGGTAGTATACGCGTGCGTGCGCGGGCGTGCGTGCGCGTGCGAGTATACGTGTGTGTGTGCGAGTATACGTGTGCGTGTAAGCGTGGTAGTACGCGTGTGTGTGCGAGCGTGGTAGTATACGCGTGCGTGCGTGTGTGTGTGTGCGAGTATACGTGTGCGTGTAAGTGTGGTAGTACGCGTGTGTGTGCGAGCGTGGTAGTATACGCGTGCGTGTGTGTGTGTGCGAGTATACGTGTGCGTGTAAGCGTGGTAGTACGCGTGTGTGTGCGAGCGTGGTAGTATACGCGTGCGTGTGTGTGTGCGAGTATACGTGTGCGTGTAAGCGTGGTAGTACGCGTGTGTGTGCGAGCGTGGTAGTATACGTGTGTGTGCGAGCGTGGTAGTATACGCGTGTGTGCGAGCGTGGTAGTATACGTGTGTGTGCGAGCATGGTAGTATACGCGTGTGTGCGAGCATGGTAGTACGCGTGTGTGTGCGAGCGTGGTAGTATACGCGTGTGTGCGAGCGTGGTAGTATACGTGTGTGTGCGAGCATGGTAGTACGCGTGTGTGTGCGAGCGTGGTAGTATACGCGTGTGTGCGAGCGTGGTAGTATACGTGTGTGTGCGAGCATGGTAGTACGCGTGTGTGTGCGAGCGTGGTAGTATACGCGTGCGTGTGTGTGTGTGCGAGTATACGTGTGCGTGTAAGCGTGGTAGTACGCGTGTGTGTGCGAGCGTGGTAGTATACGCGTGCGTGTGTGTGTGCGAGTATACGTGTGCGTGTAAGCGTGGTAGTACGCGTGTGTGTGCGAGCGTGGTAGTATACGTGTGTGTGCGAGCGTGGTAGTATACGCGTGTGTGCGAGCGTGGTAGTATACGTGTGTGTGCGAGCATGGTAGTATACGCGTGTGTGCGAGCATGGTAGTACGCGTGTGGGTGCGAGCGTGGTAGTATACGCGTGTGTGCGAGCGTGGTAGTATACGTGTGTGTGCGAGCATGGTAGTACGCGTGTGTGTGCGAGCGTGGTAGTATACGCGTGTGTGCGAGCGTGGTAGTATACGTGTGTGTGCGAGCATGGTAGTACGCGTGTGTGTGCGAGCGTGGTAGTATACGCGTGTGTGCGAGCGTGGTAGTATACGTGTGTGTGCGAGCATGGTAGTACGCGTGTGTGTGCGAGCGTGGTAGTATACGTGTGTGTGCGAGCGTGGTAGTATACGTGTGTGTGTGCGTGCGTGCGCGTGCAGAGAAGCCGGGCCCGCCGGTGAGCGTGCGCATCGTGGAGGTGTGGGAGTGCAGCGCCGCCATTGAGTGGGTCGCTCCACGCGACAGCGGCAACTGCGAGATCACCGGCTACACCGTGCAGAAGGCCGACAAGAAGACCATGGTGAGTCACGGCTGTCCGCTTGGTACGTCTGGCTGTTGTGTCGGCCTCCAGGCCTTCACGGACAATCTGTGGAGGGAGCGGAAGGTTCGGAGCAGCCGGATAATCGAAGATGATCGACATGAATGTGAACGCGCGTTGATTCTAAACGTGGGTCCTAGCTCAACATCGTTTTACCTCCCATCGTGGCAACGACAGGTCTTGTCATGAGTGGACCACTACCCGCTGTGACGCGTTGATTCACATGGTGTCGGTAGTGGTGATGTTGATGGCAGTGATGGTGGCAGTGGTGGTGTCGGTAGTCGTGGTGGTGGTGGTGGTGATGTCGATGGTGGTTGCGGTGGTGGCGGTAACGGTGGTAGCGGTGACGGGTGTCGGTGATGTTGTCTGTGGCGGTAGTGGTGATGACGGTGGTGGTAACGGTGTTGATTGTGAAGGCAGTGTTGGTGGCGGTGGTGATGGTGGCAGGAGTGGTGGTAGCGTTGGCGGTGATGGTGTCGGTAAGCGATGGTGGTGTTGGTGGCGGTGATAGTGGCGGTAGCGGTGATCGTGATGGTGTTGCTGGCAGTAGCGGTGGTAGCGGTGACGGCGTCGGTAGTCGTGGTGGTAACGGTGGCGGTAGTGGTGATGGCGCCGACGGTGGCGGTATCTGTGGCAATGGTGACGGCGGTGATTGCGCCTGTGTCCGGTGACGGTGTCGTCGGTGCAGGAGTGGTTCACGGTGTACGAGCACTACCGCCGGGTGCACTGCACCGTCTCCGACCTGGTGGTGGGTAACGAATACTACTTCCGCGTCTTCGCCGAGAACATGTGTGGCCCCAGCAACGACGCCACGCGCAGCAAGGACAGCGCTCGGATCCCCAAAGCTGGTACGCACGCACACGCGCACACACACACACGCACGTACACACACACACACGCACGTACACACACACACACACACGCACGTGTACACACACACGTACACACACGCACACGCACACGCGCACACACACACACACACGCGTACACACGCGCACGTGTACACACGCACGTACACACACACACGCACACTCGTACACACGCGCACGTATACAAAGATCCCCCGTATAGCCTGTAACAGACTGTAGGGGCAAGTGCTGTTAGCGAGCACCTATGAAGGCTGGAACGGTACACGAGGGGGTGGGTGGCAAGCACCACGCCCCACCGCCTTTGTCTCCCTAGTGGCAATGTTTACACACCGCACCAGGTACTCATTTGAGGCTGAGTCGACCTAGGGGAGGCCCGGGACCGGTTCAGATAATCGTCACTGGTGTTGGCCGTGAGCGGGAATCGAACCCGGGTCGCCAGGTTCATAGCGCAGCGTAGCGCTAACCGCTACACTATCGCTCCCCACGCACACGCGTGTACACACGCACGTACACACACACGCACGCACGTGTACACACGCACGTGCACACACACGTGTACACACGCACGTACACACACATGCACGTGTACACACACATGCACGTGTACACACACATGCACGGGTACACACACAACAACCGCCATTCGTCACTAAGTGGCGGTGACGTCACCATGGTGCTTGTGCCAGGCAATGTGCACTTTGAGGCCACATAAAGTGTTGAACGCCCGCTGGCAGGGGGTCATGGGACAGACCCAGGTGCCACGGGCCGACTGACTGAGACGACTGGCTGATGTACCACCTGTGCCCCCTATTGTGCCAACTTGCTGTACTTTAGCCACCGGGCGCTCCGCTCGTTGTTGTGAGCATCGCTCCTCCGCCCTCTGTTGTTGTTGGAGGGCGACTGCCTTCAACTACCCAGTAGCGTCCTTCACGAGCCTCCTTCACTGAAGCCGATCTTGACACCGCTGGTACGGGTCATCGGCAAGTCCACTCAGCTCCACGTCCTCCTGTACCACATCACTCCATCTCTTCTCTAGCCCGTGCCACGCCCGTTTAGCCCTCTCGATCCGGCCGAACAAAAGCTGTTTGACATGCGGTGGCTGGGCATGCAGGTTACATGACCAAGCCAATGCAGCCTTGCCTGCCGGAGGAGCTCACCGATGGGACTTTGTCCAGATGTTTCAAAGATTTGTGAGGTCCTCACACAATCCAGCCTGGTTAAACCCAGGATGGATCATAGGCAGGCCAGCCTAAATATTTATAACCGGTAAAGATGTTCCATTAGGGGGGTCCACGTTTCGCAAGCATAGCGAAGGAAGGGAATGACTGTGGCCGAGAAGACCCGAATCTTCGTGTGGAGCGACAGACCAGGTAGTTTCCACACAGCGTTATGCAACCGATGAAAAGATATTGCCGCTCGACTGATTCGGAGTGTGACCTCTGCTGTTAAACCGGAGCCGGTCATGAGCACACTGCCCATGTATGGGAAACTCTCCACTCTCTCCACAACTGCCCTATCACCAATTGGGAGTTGTGGGGGCGGAGTGTCCGATGGTACAAAATACCCAGGCAGGTGCTTAGTTTTGGTGGGGCTGATGGTAAGGCCCCACCTCTCAGTGGCATGCTCCAGTCTCAGCAGCAGCGTCTCCATCTCCACCTTTGAATGAGCAGCTATTACCAAATAATCGGCATACATAACGTGGTTGAGCAATAGGGAGCCATCCCTTGACCGCACCTGGGCATTGATCAGCCTCCCATTATATCTGTACCAAATGGAGATTCCCCCGGTACAGCTATTGAAGGCTTCACGAACTGCGTGGTCAAAATAGATGTTAAATAATGTGGGAGCCAGAGGACATCCCTGTCACACCCCAAGGTGTACAGGGAATGGCTCTGACTCCCGGCCACATAGTTTTACCCAGGCCCGCTCACCATCATGAAGGTCCTTAATGATCGTGAGCAGAGGGTCAGGGACTCCAAAAGCACGAAGAACAACCCAGAGCCCAGCCTACTGATGGTATCATAGGCCTTGACCAGGTCAATAAAGCATAGATGTAGGTCTTGTGTGTATGTACACGTACGTACGTGTACACACACACATGTACGTGTAAACACACACACGCACGGACGGATGTGTATACCCACACGTGTAGACACACGTGTACACACACAGACCGTCTATACATACACACACACACATGCACACAACATCACCATCGCTGCTCACCCTCACGATCATCATCACACACAATGACCACCATCACTACCATCACCAGTGCCGCATTCAGATTTTGTAGGCCCCTGGGCTACGGGTACTGTGAGGCCCCTGGGCTACGGGTACTGTGAGGCCCCTGGGCATCAGGTACTGTGAAGCCCCTGGCCTACAGGTACTGTGAGGCCCCTGGGCTACAGGAACTGTGAGGCCCCTGGGCTACAGGTACTGTGAGGCCCCTGGGCTACAGGTCCTGTGAGGCCCCTGGGCTACAGGCACTGTGAGGCCCCTGGGCTACAGGTACTGTGAGGCCCCTGGGCTACGGGTACTGTGAGGCCCCTGGGCTACGGGTACTGTGAGGACCCTGGGCTACAGGAACTGTGAGGCCCCTGGGCTACAGGTACTGTGAGGCCCCTGGGCTACAGGTACTGTGAGGCCCCTGGGCTACAGGAACTGTGAGGCCCCTGGGCTACAGGTACTGTGAGGCCCCTGGCCTACAGGTACTGTGAGGCCCCTGGGCTACGGGTACTGTGAGGCCCCTGGGCATCAGGTACTGTGAAGCCCCTGGCCTACAGGTACTGTGAGGCCCCTGGGCATCAGGTACTGTGAAGCCCCTGGCCTACAGGTACTGTGAGGCCCCTGGGCTACGGGTACTGTGAGGCCCCTGGGCTACAGGAACTGTGAGGCCCCTGGGCTACAGGTACTGTGAGGCCCCTGGGCTACAGGTCCTGTGAGGCCCCTGGGTTACAGGTACTGTGAGGCCCCTGGGCTACAGGAACTGTGAGGCCCCTGGGCTACAGGTACTGTGAGGCCCCTGGCCTACAGGTACTGTGAGGCCCCTGGCCTACAGGTACTGTGAGGCCCCTGGCCTAGAGGTACTATGAGGCCCCTGGGCTACAGGTACTGTGAGTCCCCTGGGCTACAGGTTCTGTGAGGCCCCTGGGCTACAGGTACTGTGAGGCCCCTGGGCTACAGGTACTGTGAGGCCCCTGGGCTACAGGCACTGTGAGTCCCCTGGGCTACAGGTACTGTGAGTCCCCTGGGCTACAGGTACTGTGAGTCCCCTGGGCTACAGGTTCTGTGAGGCCCCTGGGCTACAGGTACTGTGAGGCCCCTGGGCTACAGGTACTGTGAGGCCCCTGGGCTACAGCTACTGTGAGGCCCCTGGGCTACGGGTACTGTGAGGCCCCCAGTGATATTTTCAAAAGAAAAAAACAAAGCTAAAGAAAATGTAAATGCATTTTTACAAGGCTAACAACGAATAAAATTCAGCATTCACAAGTGCAAGAACTTTTCACTTCATCTCTGGAGGCCCTCCAGCTGGCAGAGGCCCCCTGGGTCTGCAGCCCCTAAAGCCCCCACGCCTTAATCCGGCTCTGGCCATCATCACCGTCAATCATTGCCATCGCCCTGCCAACTGCGTGCACCGCACCCCGGCCTCCGTATGCCGCTGCAGGCATTGTGTACCGCCCGCCCGAGTACAAGGAGCACGACTTCCTGGAGGCGCCGCAGTTCACCCACCCACTCGTCGACCTGTGCGCCATCTCCGGCTACAACGCCACGCTCAGCTGCTGCGTCAGAGCCTTCCCCAAGGTGAGACCCACAGAGACCCACGCACACACACAGAGACTCATGGACTCACACCGAGACTCGTAGACTCACACAGAAACACATAGACTCACACAGAGACTCGTAGACTCACACAGAGACACATAGACTCACACATAGATCCACGCACACACACACAGAGACTCATAGACTCACACAGAAACTCGTAGAATCATACAGAGACCCGTAGACTCACACAGAGACTCGTAGACTCACACATAGACTCGTAGACTCACACAGAGACTCGTAGACTCACACAGAGACTCGTAGACTTACACAGAGACTCGTAGACTCACACAGAGGCCCACAGACTCACACAGAGACCCACAGACTCACACAGAGTCTCATAGACTCACACAGAGACTCGTAGACTCACACAGAGACTCGTAGACTCACACAGATACCCATAGACTCAAACTGAGACCCACAGACTCAAACTGAGACCCATAGACTCACACAGAGACTCATAGACTCACACAGAGACCCACAGACTCACACATAGACCCACAGACTCACGCAGAGACCCATAGACTCACACAAATAGTATTATTTATATCATCATCACGTCGGGAAATGAAATCACCACCAATAATACTCAATACATAATAATAAATCACAATCCAAATAATAATTGTAACAACAATCACGAGAAACATATATTTACCCCCACCCCCCACCACCAAAATATAAAATCCTCGGCAGCCCAAGATCAGGTGGACGAAGAACAAAGTGGAAATCCGCGACGACCCCAAGTACCGCATGTTCAGCAACCAGGGCGTGTGCACGCTGGAGGTGCGCAAGCCGGGCCCGTACGACGGCGGCGTCTACTGCTGCCTCGCCGAGAACTCCCTGGGCGATGCCATGGTCGACTGCAAGTTCGAGTGCAAAGGTGAGCGGGCAGTGGCGGTGGTGGTGGTGGTGGTGGCCGAGGTGAGGGCCGCTCTGGGAGTGGGGAGGTGGTTGTATGTGGATGTGTGGGTGAGCGCGTGGGGTGAGTGTGGGGGGGCGGGTGGGTGAGTGGGTGGGTGAGCGGGTGAGTGGGTGAGTGTGTGAGCGGGTGAGCGTGGGGGCGGGTGAGCGTGGGGGCGGGTGAGCGTGTGAGTGGGTGAGTGTGTGAGCGTGTGTGTGGGCGGGTGAGCGTGTGAGTGGGTGAGTGTGTGAGCGGGAGAGCGTGTGAGCGGGAGAGCGTGTGGTGTGAAAGTGGGGGCGGGTGGGTGAGTGGGTGAGCGTGTGAGTGGGCGGGTGAGCGTGTGGTGAGCGTGTGAGTGGGTGAGCGTGTGGGTGCCCGGGTGAGCGTGTGAGCGTGTGAGTGGGCGGGTGAGCGTGTGAGTGGGTGAGTGTGAGGGCGAGTTAGTGTGGGGGTGGGTGGGTGAGTGGGTGTGAGTGGGTGTTTGTGTGAGTGAATGTGGTTGGGTGGGTGAGTGTGTGAGTGAGTGGGTGAGTGTGTGGGTGAGTGAGTGGGTGGGTGAGTGGGTGTGAGTGGGTGTTTGTGTGAGTGAATGTGGTTGGGTGGGTGAGTGTGTGAGTGAGTGGGTGAGTGTGTGAGTGGGTGGGTGAGTGGGTGTGAGTGGGTGTTTGTGTGAGTGAATGTGGTTGGGTGGGTGAGTGTGTGAGTGAGTGGGTGAGTGTGTGGGTGAGTGAGTGGGTGGGTGAGTGGGTGTGAGTGGGTGTTTGTGTGAGTGAATGTGGTTGGGTGGGTGTGTGGGTGGGTGAGTGAGTGGGTGGGTGAGTGGGTGAGTGGTTGTGAGTGAGTGGATGGTGTGAGTGTGTGAGTGAATGTGGGTGGGTGTGTGAGTGTGTGAGTGAGTGGGTGAGTGAGTGGGTGAGTGGGTGGGTGGATGAGTGAGTGTGCGTGTGAGTGGGTGAGTGGGTGTGCGTGTGAGTGGGTGAGCGTGTGAGTGGGTGAGTGGGTGAGTGAGTGGGTGAGTGTGTGTGTGGGTGTGTGTATGGGTGAGTGTGGTGTGTGTGTGTGGGTGTGTGTGTGTGGGTGTGTGAGTGTGTGTATGGGTGAATGATGAGCGATAGTGTAGCGGTTAGCGCTACGCTGCGCTACAAACCTGGCGACCCGGGTTCGATTCCCGCTCACGGCCAACATCAGTTACGATTATCTGAACCGGTTCTGGGCCTCCCCTAGGTCGACTCAGCCTCAAATGAGTACCTGGTGCGATGTGTAAACATCGCCACTGGGGAGACAAAGGCGGCCCTGCGTGGTGTTGGCCACCCACCCCCTCGTGTGCCGTTCCGGCCTTCATAGGTGCTCGCTAACAGCACTTTCCCCTACAGTCTGTTAAGGCTATACGGGGGATCTTTGTTTTTGTGGATGGGTGTGAGGGTGAGTGTGCAGGTGAGGATTTGAGGGTGAGTGTGCAGGTGAGGATTTGTGGGTGGGTGTGAGTGTTGGTGAATGTGGGGGTGAGTGTGTGGGTGATTTTGGGTGTGAGTGTGGGAATGTGTTGGTGAGTGTGGGGGTGAGTCTGCGGGTGAGTGTGTTGGTGAGTGTGGGTGTGAGTGTGGGAATGTGTGGGTGAGTGTGGGAATGTGCTGGTGAGTGTGGGGGTGAGTGTGCGGGTGAGTGTGGGTGTGAGTGTGGGTGTGAGTGTGGGTGTGAGTGTGGGTGTGAGTGTGGGTGTGAGTGTGCGGGTGAGTTTGGGTGTGAGTGTGGGTGTGAGTGTGGGGGTGAGTGTGGGGGTGAGTGTGGGGGTGAGTGTGGGGGTGAGTGTGGGGGTGAGTGTGGGGGTGAGTGTGCGGGTGAGTTTGGGTGTGAGTGTGGGAATGTGTGGATGAGTGTGGGAATGTGTTGGTGAGTGTGTGGGTGAGTGTGTGAGTGTGTGGGTGAGTGTGTGAGTGTGGGGGTGAGTGTGGGGGTGAGTGTGGGGGTGAGTGTGCGGGTGAGTGTGGAGGTGAGTGTGGGTGTTGTATGCATCCCCCACCCCTCGCCTCCTCCACGCTCCCACACTCCCCATTCATTCTTGGTTCCCGCTGGACATCTGTGCAAAAGAGCTTCCGAGCACATCAGAGTCTTCCTCCAGTATAAATCGGTAACAGACAGAGATTGCGGAGGACTGCCCACCCCTCATGGTGAGCGAGGTCAGAACCGGTCCACCGGACCTCCCAGGGCACTACCGCTCCAACCCAATATTGAGGTGTATCACCTAGCAGCAGTAGTAGTAGCAGTAGTAGCAGCAGCAGCAGCAGTAGTAGCAGCAGCAGTAGTAGTAGCAGCAGTAGCAGCAGCAGCAGTAGTAGCAGCAGCAGCAGTAGCAGCAGCAGCAGTAGTAGCAGTAGTAGTAGCAGCAACAGTAGTAGCAGCAGCAGCAGTAGCAGCAGTAGCAGCAACAGTAGCAGCAGTAGCAGCAGTAGTAGCAGCAGTAGCAGCAGTAGTAGCAGCAGTAGTAGCAGTAGTAGTAGCAGCAACAGTAGTAGCAGCAGCAGCAGTAGCAGCAACAGTAGCAACAGTAGCAGCAGTAGTAGTAGCAGCAACAGTAGTAGCAGCAACAGTAGTAGCAGCAGCAACAGTAGCAGCAGTAGCAGCAGCAGTAGCACGAGTCGGATTTACGCGAACAATATCCATAATGGAGTGGGCTTTTTAGTTTGTTGTGTTAGAGATCGCCTAAATGTAATTGTGTCGTTAAACCTACCACCACCCGACACAGACAATCGGTAAGGGCTTTGTGCCAGGTGAACAACACGTGACCAACGAGTTTACTTAGTTCAGCACACACACGCACGCATCGGTTGTGTGTTGGGGATTTAAGTTCACAACATCCCTACAGAGGAACACCTAACCCACTTAATTTCGTCCTTGTCTTTCCACCAAACTGTGCCAAATACTTGCCTTGTCGATATATATACACACACATATATATAAATACAAGCCTTTGCTTTTTACACATATATACCGAGATTGTATATATGTGTAGGATGTTTTCTCTGCTCTCGTGGGCTCACAATGGCCGTGTCGTCGGCTCCACGGCCACCGAACGCCACCCCATTCGCGAGCAGCGTAGCGCACCGAATGCTCGCCAAATCGCCGCCGTTGCGACCGGCGCGGTGAAGTATGGTCGCACGCGTCCCACCAGTGGAATGACACGGCCACTATGACCTCCTCCCCCTCCTGCCTCCTCCTCCTCGTGGACCCACGTGGTCGTCCAGCAATGTGAATGTGTTGTGAAGGTCTTGTCCGCTTCACACCTCTCTTCTCCTCCTCATTGCTGCATCCATGTCACATGCCATGTCCATGCGTGCGTCTGTGTGTGTGTGTCTGTGTGTGTGTGTCTGTGTGTGTGTCTGTGTGTGTGTCTGTGTGTGTATCTGTGTGTGTGTCTCTGTGTGTGTCTCTGTATCTGTGTCTGTGTGTGTGTGTCTCTGTGTGTGTGTGGCTGTGTGTGTCTCTGTGTGTGTGTTTGTGTGTGTGTGTCTGTGTGTGGCTGTGTGTGTCTCTGTGTGTGTGCCTGTGTGTCTGTGTCTGTGTGTGTCTGTGTGTGTGTGTCTCTGTGTGTGTCTGTGTGTGTGTGTGTCTGTGTGTGTGTGTGCCTGTGTGTCTGTGTCTGTGTGTGTCTCTGTGTGTGTGTCTGTGTGTGTGTCTGTGTGTGTCTCTGTGTGTGTCTGTGTGTGTGTCTCTGTGTGTGTGTGTCTGTGTGTGTGTGTCTGTGTGTGTCTCTGTGTGTGTCTCTGTGTGTGTCTGTGTGTCTGTGTCTGTGTGTGTCTCTGTGTGTGTGTCTCTGTGTGTGTCTGTGTGTGTGTGTGTCTGTGTGTGTCTCTGTGTGTGTCTCTGTGTGTGTGTCTGTGTGCTTCACACCTCTGTTCTCCTCGTCATTGCTGCATCCATGTCACATTCCATGTCCACGCGTGCGTCTGTCCGTGCGTTTGTCTGTGTGCGCGTGTGTCTGTGTGTGTGTCTGTGTGTGTGTGTCTGTGTGCGTGTGTGTGAATGGTGGTCGTGGTTACTTATGCCCCCACCGAAGATGAACATCCGTGGAGGGATGCAGGCAAAGCCGATGAGTCAGATGCCTTCTATGACCTCCTGTCACAGGTGCTGGCTAAAGTGGCCCCTCGGGATAGAGTCATCATGTTGGGTGACTTCAATGCCCGAGTTGGTCATGATACTGGCACCTGGTCTGGAGTGATTGGAGGGCATGGGCCAGATCGGCTCAATAACAACGGTAGGAGGCTGCTAGATTTTTGTGCAGCCCATGGGCTTGTAATTACCAACACGCTGTTCCGGCATCGGCGCATCCACACAACATCATGGATGCATGCCGGGTCCAAGCAAGAACATCTGCTGGACTACATAGTGACGGACCAGCGGATGCGAGCCCATGTCCTTGACACCAGGACCTACCATGGAGCTGATCTGCCCTCTGACCATCGACTAGTCATCTGTAAGATGCGCCTGCCATTCTTCCACTCCGGTGGTGGGTGTACACCCAGGACCCCATTCCAACCTAAAGTGGCCTGGTCTCAGTTATCTGAGACCAGGCCACTTTAGGATGGGTGGTAGTCGCGGGTTGCTGAGGAGATGGAGTCTGCCTCAGTGGCCCGTGATCACAAATCTCTATTTAACTCCATCAAAAAAGTAACCTGCAGCGCCACACCTATTACCATCATTAGGGGAAAAAAACGGTGATCCAATCTCCGACCCCCAGGAACAGGTTTGCAGATTTGCTGAGCATTTCTGAGGTCCTGGCGGAGGGAAAATCCCTCAGCCAGGAAAATATCGTGGCACAAAGTGAGGATGAACCTGCTGAGGCTGCGGTGCCTCAAATATTGGAAGAAGTCACCCCCTGTGAGTGGCTGGCTGAGGTGCCATCTGTTGAGGAAGTACTGAAGGCGATCCGGAGTCTGAGACCAGGAAAGGCAGCGGGCAGAGATGATCTCCCAAGCGAAATG